CTGCATGAGTGCATGAGCTGTTGAGCTTGGGAAACCTTCATCACAGCTGGCAGCTGGCAACTGGCAGCAAGCGACGGGTTTGTCCTGCTGCCTGCTTTTGTTTTCATCTTGCATCATCTCCCCTTGATGACTTGATGGCACTGCTGTGCTATTACGAGCCCGCTCCGGAGGTATCACTCGCGCACGTAGTATGTAGGTGATCTGAGAATGTTTGCTCCATGGTGCTCTGTAGACATACGTGATGGAGGTCTGTCTGCCCGAGGTGATGCGATCGACATTAGAATGTTTGTTCCATAGTGATCTGTAGGGCATTGGTGATTGGGGTATGTTTGCTCCATGGTGGTCTGAAAGACAGAGATGAGCTAGCTAGCTCATGATCTGTCCTTGTGTGGCTGTAAGATCGACCGAAGTAAATGTGGGATTTGTGGAGCGGGATTGTGAATCGTGCAGCGGCACGTTGCAGGAAGGAAGTTGGGTGGAAGTTAAGTTTCAAACGGGAAGAGGACAAACAGGAGGGGTGACGTGGGCATAGCAAGCAGCAGGGACAACAGAGCGCGGCTGCTGCTGTGAGGCGAACGGACGATGCGATGTACAGTCCAGCGAGGACCATAATACTGTAGGCACAAGGTCCGAGGGAGGACCGGGGTCGAGTGGGCCACGGCGAGTTGATCGAGCGATTTTGCGTACATGTGTATCTACATCGCGTACATTTGCATACACACATGCGATAATTTCTTGCTTGCAAGACTTCGACCTCACGGTTGACGAGGGAAAGGAATGGCTGTAATCCTTCTGCTGGCGACAACGGCATCGAAGTCAAGGCAAGCACCGCAGAATGAAGACGGAGAACACGAGTCCTGTGTGGTCTTCCCGTCCTCCAATATGACTCCGGCTGGGCGGTGCGTCCAGAATTGTATCGGAACATGTATGCATATGGACCGAGGTCCAGAATAAAAGGGTGCACCCCAAGTTCGAGGTGCGAGTTTCACCCACGTAGTTGCTTGGGTTACAACGTATCTGTGGATGATATTGGTCGGATTTTCGGATGCTTCCAAACCCTTGGCGACATGTAGGCTACAGCCTGCATCGACACCGATCTACACGACTACACGACCTCAGGCCTTGGATCATGGCGGCGAGGAAAGAGCGAAAGAGCTGTGCCGAGATCGGCGGTCCGCAGGCACTCACATTCCTAAACCTCGTGACTCATTTTGAACTTCATACTGTAATCCGGTACTTTGTGCCCTCGAAGCGTTCGAGAACCGGATGGCCACCGCAGTTAGCATCGGAGGTAGTGCTTTGGTACAAACAGTAGCTCACCGAACGAAATAGTACCGTACGCAATTGCATGAGAGTAGAAAGGGCTGGTCTCGAACATCGCGAACCACCGCAATTCTGCGTATACATACATCCCAACGGCTCCATCCTATCGTCGGATCTACCGCATCATCTCTTCTACAAGGAGTACGATACCCTCAACATTACAGTCAGTGAAGTCCAGGGTACAGCACTAGTATCTCTGGCACCAGGTACATGCGTATATCAAATGGATCGTGCCAACCAGGTGGTGCCAACTCTGGATCGGAAGCACGGCCAAGCATTCTGTACGTGCGTGCTGCGCTTGTCGCAACCATCTGGATGTAATTCGCCCACCAGCGCAAAGACTAAACCACTCCGGTTGCTTTTGTAAACCCTAAACGTCGGATCTACCGCACCATCTGTTTCTACTTGTGAAGTTTTACGACGCTCCTAACCTCAACATTGCAGCGAGGTATACCGTGAATATGTACAGCAGCATAGATGGCACTTCGTACAATCTGAAATCTCTGGCACCAGGTACATGCGAATATCAAATGGATCGTGCCAAATCTGGATCGAAAGCACGGCCCAGAGTACGTGCTGGGCTTTGTCGAGACAATCAATCAAGCCTCGTGCCTGCTCCTCTGCTGCGGTATTTCGCCCACCAGAGGAACAACACAGCAGCCGGCCGGTTGCTTTGCAAATGGAATCTGCGCCAACTGACGACTGCTGCTGCTCATCTTTTTATGAAAAACGTACATAAAAACACACGGAAAGAATACACGCTCTCTCGAACGCTTCCTGCTGGGGTATGTAGCCACCTACCTGGACACCTCCAGCACCCAAGCGCCGACAATGGAGTTATATTCCGGCAGCAGCCCGTTGGGCCCTCCCGTCCCACCACCACGGCTAACTGCGTAACTCATCCAGAATATCTCCCTCAACACTCCAAAGGCGCTCGCTTCGGCTCCAGGATCTAGGCACCAGGCGATCTCGGGTGCTCGCTCTCGTACTTGCTACTTCTTGCCTTGAGTCAGGGGCAGAGGTGAAGCGATGGGATGTTCGACTGAGAAGCCCGAGATTCAAGAGTAGGGAGCAGGTTTACCGAACTGTACTTACATACACGAGCTTCTTGTTGCAGCGGAGCAGTTAGTTTGTGCGACGTGGCGTTAGGTACTCTGATATTGAGATGTCTGCTGGATGCACGAAAAGATACACCAGTAGCCCGTCGCAAGACGGTGGCTCCTCGGAATGGGTGACCAACGAGTATCTCAGTATCTCGGTCAGTATCTCAGGATTTCAAACTTGGAGCAGGTTGAAGTTCCGTGCAACACACGTAAGCTGTAACCAACAAGCCGTTGGCTGCTTGCTGGCAAGCTGGCAAGGCCCATGCATGCTGCCTCTCTCTCACCTGGCTGTTGTTATGCTGGGCACCGCCACTAGCTGGGCCCTGCCTGCTGTTTGCTGTGGTGGTGGTGGTGGTGCTAATCAACACCTGATGGCTTGGGCCGCTTGTGTGGTCTCTGCGCGACCAGCCGCAGGATCTCCTATCTCCTACTTTGCTGGAAGATCTACGATGCGTATCACAAGCTGCACACGCTCCTATTTGCACCGGCAAATAAGCACACCGGAAGGCAGCAAAGTACGAAGGCTTCGTTCCGCCCTCAGAATGATCGATGGGTGGTACAAGGAGTCCTTTCGCCGATTCACCGCGACTTCCTGTCTGTCCCTCTCTCTCTGTCTCCTACCCTCGCCTTTCTGCCTTTTCCCCGGTTTTTCGAAAAACGAAAAAACAACAAAATCTCTTTTTTGCGCACTGGTTCTCCGCTCGCCGCCAGACCCCCCCCCCCCCCCCCAACTCCAAATATGCTCTCAGATGGAGGTCCCCCTCGTCCGCTCCGCACTTGTGCTCCGTAGATCTCGTCATCCCGCGGCAGTGCAGTAGCGGTGGCAGCGGCGGTCTGACGAATCAAGGCGATGGGTGGTGCCGTGGCTGAAATCAAGACGCTGGCTGAGTACCACTCAGCCATCGAATCTTGTTCGAAGGCATGCGTGTTTTTCTGGGCCGCATGGCACGAGCCAAGCAAGCCGGGCGGACAGATGGACCAGGTAGGTTCATCAGTTTGAATATTGTGTGCGCTGTGTGCTGTGTGCTGTGTGCTCCGTGCAGCGGTGTGTACCGCTGTGTACCGCTGTGTACCGCCCTGTCTTTGTGTGTGGTTGGGAAATGATTTTTGTCGCCCTGTCTCGTTAATGATCGTGTTTGAAGTGCAAGGCGTAAATGCCTCCTCCCATAATTTCATCACGTGTTTGAAGACTAGTGTCTGTTTACTGCTATCGATCAATCTACTGCTTGACTCCGACCTCGGCCGAGTTCACCGAACGCCAATGATTGCAGGGACGTGCGCCTATTATTGACTACAGTTACAGCAGTACGGCTGACTCGCTGTCGACCTTGGTGTCTACTATTGCTGTTCTTCTGCTGGACGCAGGGCCACTAAAGAACAAAAATCTACTCTAAAACATGCTGATACGTAAAATCACGTTGTCCCGGACGGAGGCACGTGCCACATTTTTGCAATGGTTTCCGGGAGGTGCACAAGAAAGCATGCGGTGCTCTACTTGCTGTTAAGTATATGCACGGACCGATCAAACCTACGTACTGCTGTACAACACGCCATTGCGGAATTCACACCCTAAGCATGCTACATAGTAGTGGGTGACAGGTGAACAAATTCAAACGAAATTGGCCGGGCGTTACGGTACATACAGTAGTAGTCGCGCGCAAAAAACAGCTTCCAACAATGAACAGCTGCACTCGCAGCCGACGCCGTTCCCTACATTATCATTGCACTCCAGCAGCCGTTGTATTTAATTGAATTGGCCCATGGGCGTTATGGTGATGCTTGCTTACCCAACACGCACTGCTTGTCTTTACCCAGGTGTTCTCCCAGTTGGCCGAGCTGCACCGAGGAGCAGTGAATTGCGTCAAGGTGAGGGAAGCGCGATGTACCCATCGACCATCAAGCGGACGTGGCATCAACAATGCCGTCTGTACAAGTACTACGTATGTGCCAGCAGCACAAGTTGTATGCATTGCATTGCTAAGCCAAGAACGTGCAGGATGCTCATCCATGGCGACGGGTCCCTCTTGGATGTCGGGGGGGGCGTCAGCCGATGTCAGGGAATGTCTATTATAGAAAGGGCCCTCGTCCACTACTGACAACGGTATTTACCCCTTGTGTCGAAGTGTAGTATGGGCAACACACGAGGTCCTAGGCTGTGGAGATAAGTACCAGCAGCCGGCCCCCGTTGGTTTTGGCGTTGACCGTATTCTTGTAGCCGACTTGGTGTTGACATGTAAGGCATCGCACCCTCTCTCTCTCTCGCCCTCAGACTACAGTACCGGTGTGAGTTCTTTGTCAACCGACTTGGTGGCTAATCCGAGGATCGACTTGATCATCCCTGCCGTTCCCTTCCACAGGTGGAGGCGGAGGCAGCACCGGAAGTTAGCGCCAAGCTCGAGATCGCTACCGTGCCCACTTTTGTGCTCGTCAAGGCAAGGAGTAGCAGACGTGCAGTGGTATCCACATGAACACGTCGAAAACACTGCAATAGGGGTGGGAGAAAGAAATGCTGAGGGGGTCCCTGGAAGCGTTCTGCGGGGCCCTGGGTTGGGCCACGCTGCCAAAAGTCGAAAACAACAACGGTAAACTGTAGTGGCAGTACGACAACTTTGTCAGACGACGGTAGGTGGGTTGTTGGACGAAATTTGATCAATATCCGCAGTAACCGCAGCAGTTGCGGTACGAGAACTGCTGTGTCTAACGACGGTAAGTGAGGGTTGTTGGACGATATCAGAACAGTATCCGTGGGAGGAACGATGCGTACACAACCCGTCCAACACGACAGCACGTTCCTCCTGGACGCGAATGATTTCCGCAAGTGTTGACCAATGGTATCGGCACTCCTGTAGGAAGCTGACACGTTGCCCTCTCAACGTTATCCACATAATTCCGCATTTTTGACGGCCTTTACTCTGCGTCTCCTGAGACCATCACCTCGTTGCAGGCCGACTCTACCATTTGGCGGCCAACCGTTCCTTTCCGTAGTCTTAGGTTATGGTGGGGATCACTGACAAGCTGTTGCTGTTGTTTTTGTCGCGCATTCCCGCGATATCGCTGCGGGTGCTCTCTTTCTTTGTGCTCTGCGCCCTCTTGGACGTGTGGTATGCAGGGTGGAGCGGCATGCGGGAGAATCGAGGGAGCGGACCCCCCCACGCTGGCCAAGCGCGTGCAGGAGCTGGCCAATGAACACGTCGCACAGCAGAAGTCCAAGGGGGATGGGGTGGAGGGGATGCAGCCAGAGCTCAAGGCGAAGCTGAAGAGCATCATCGGGTGTGTGCAAGTCGCAAGCAGTGAAGTCGTGGATGGAGATGTAACTTCCGTGTGTGGAGTGAGGTCGTACATTGGTAATGGGGGGTCGAAAAGGATGGATACCGCTTGGGGTGTGGTGGCTAACGTCGTAGCACACATTCTCCGTAAGTCGTGTTCACGAAGTTGGGTGGAGATGCAGCCCTGGTTTTGGACACCATGCCCGTAAGCACATTCGACAAAGGTCGCTTGTTTTTCCGTACTTCAACCTCAGAACGAACGTTCTTCAGGGCTAGGGGCTGACAATCTGACCATTTCGTCTTCTGATGAATAAATGCCGCCAGCGGTAGATGTCCCGGGGACGGTCTGCCATCCTATTTGCGTCACCGGCACGTATGTTTGTACTCGTTCGTCCGTCTGTCCGTTTTTCTCTCTATCTCTCTCTTGATCTCTTTTATTCTCTTGATCTCTCCCCAATTTTTGCTGCGACAGTCTCCCCAGTAAGCACAATCGACAAAATCAAGCGCTTTGCCCCTCGTTCGCTCACCGCAACATTTTGTTCTCTCTTGCGATGTATCCGTTGGGGAAAATCCCTGCTTGCGGGACAACCTCTCTCCCGACGTGTGACCTTCTACTGTACATCGACCCAGCACGTCGCCGGTGATGCTCTTCATGAAGGGTAACGCGGAGGAGCCCAAGTGCAAGTTCAGTCGAAAGATGGCCGAGATGCTCAGGTGCGTTCGTCGCTTCCGATCCTGCCTGATACCTGTCCAGCACCAGTATAACAACACGCGGCCTGCCTTGCGAGACAAGAATGCCGTCCAATCCCACGTAACCGCACACGGCAACCGGTGTTTTCGCAGAGGAACTCATGCCACATTCCCTTGTAACGCTAACCGTTTGGGATGCCGTATTTTGAGTGTTTTTTTGTCTTTTATCACGAGCGATCAATATACTCGAGTGATAGATGGTGGTTCCAACGCTGTCCATTTTCGCAATCAAGGGGTATAACATTTGACCCCTGCTTAGTGCTCGCCATCATGCTAGAGTAGAGCTTTTCATTCCAGTGTTTTCCTTGCAGTGCGCCGCGCTCGGGACACTTTTTTCGTCATCGTCAACGGAATGGGCCGTGACTTGCTCGCGGCCTTGAGAACCACGACCAAAGGATCGAAAAAAACGATAACCCGTCGTGCCTTTTGCCGTCGAGAGGTTACGGTTTTTCGCGGTTGGATGGTCTGTGCGCGCTCCTCTTGCGCCTTGGTGGTGCATGCCAGTGGCGACCTTGAATTGGCCACTTGTCGCAGAGACCAGACGCACATAGGTTGAAAATTCAGAAGAGGTCCGACGGCTAGAGCAACTAGAGAAGAAACGATAACACGTAGGATACAGCTTGTAGCCTAACCTGTGCTCTACCGCCGTGCCGCCTCTGCGATGCCCCTTTGACTCTTCACGTATGCTTCTGTGCACGAAAAAGTAATCAGGGTCCGTCTACCGATCATTTTCGACACCTTTGCCGCAATGGTCGCCCCTGCATCATTGCTTTGTGATGCATACCCTGTACATGCTATGTTCTGAAGCTCCTTTCCCGTACCGTTGTGTTCCCTGCTTCTCGGCGTTTCTGTGACGTGAAAAAGAGGCGCAAAGGTCGACTTTGGGTCCTTCGATATCCTTACGGACGAGCAAGTGAGAGCAGGGCTAAAGGTGTACTCCAACTGGCCTACCTTCCCTCAGGCAAGGAGTTTGCTTAGCGCGCCCTTGAGGGAGATGCAGTTTTTTTTTTCGTTGTTCATGCTCGATAGAGATGCCAAAGCCGTGATTTTGCGGGGCCACAGATACCGTATTCCCCCTGCATGGTGCGGCTACTGTGTTTCCGTCCTCGTTGCTAATGCTGTGGCACTCAGAAAATTGCCACAGCGGTACAAACCTGGATTTTTTTTTGTGTGTCGCCCCTTTCCGTCCATGTTCTCCAATAGGCCTTTAGCCGTCATTCCGAGACCGATGCATAGGTACAGGCTCCATCCTCGTGATACATCCTGATGATTCACCCTGATGGTAGAACACGACGATAGCTCACTTCGCCATCGCAGAGATTTCGGGTCGATAGAAGCACACATTTCAAGAATACTCTTGGTTCTCCTTTCACCAAACTCAAAGTCGGCTTCGCGGTTCTGGCCACCCCGCAATCCTTGCCACCCGTTAGGTGTAGACTTCGCTTGGTTCAGATGTTTGACAGATACGTGGCATCACGCTTCTTTGGTTTGATGCACTGCTGTGCGGCGCGATATTGCGAGGCCGAGAGCACGCAGCCACGTGATAAGCCTGATTTCTCTGGCACGTTCATCCTGACGTCTGAATTATGTGAGACGTTCTTTGTGGTGCTGGCCCTCTGTGTGAGTGAGGCACATGCTTCTCTGACGGGTGTTGATTTTGCTTCGATACCAAGCGGATGGATGGCATGCAGGCACCTGATGCCATATGTGCTATTGCCCATCACGTAGATTTCCTAACCTCTTCTTCGGAGCATGTGATCTAATGAGAAGCCCCCTCTCGATTTCGCAGCTGTACGTGAAGGGGGTGTTGGTAGGGGGAGTAGATGAGGTGTCCAAACTGGCGGAGGACGGGGACTTGAAAAACAGCCTGGCTAACGCTGCGGGCGTGAAGCCTAGCAAGAACACCGCGGGGGCTGTCGGGGGCGGCAAGTCTGTGGAGGAGCGGTGCAAGGACATTATGAGGAGGTACGTGCGTAGCGTGTCGTTGGTGAAGTACGTATAGTTAAGGGGTGTTTTCGTGCGGCAGCTTCTTCCGTCAGACGCCGAAAGAGAAAGAAGGTCGACTCGAGACTTTCACTGCTCAGAGAGAGTGATAGACACGCGGGAGGCAAGACGACCCCCACGCGGTGTTTCCATCATACACGTATCATACGCGGAACCCCGGAAGGCCCCGTAAATAAGCACGCTGCCGAGCACCCCCAAACAAGGGGCCCCACTGGTGGGTTAAAAGAGGTACATAGAATATGTGAGCGATGGGCACCGGCAATTGACGGGGGCAGTGTGGCGAGAAAATCTCGCTCACGAGAAGGCGCGGTGCTGAGAATGTACGTGTACATGTAGGGTGAGAAAAACGATGTTGAAAAAGCGTGTAGAGAGAACGCGCAGTGGTGTAGTGACGAGAAAGGATGCCGAGAAAACAGTTTGGAGAAGAGCACAACACGAGCACACACGTTGGCGAGAAAAGGACAAGGAGAAAACGGCTTGGTTTGAAACCAGACGGCAAAATCATGACCAATTATATCCGGAAATATTATTATGCCCTGTTTCCCACCACTACGTAAACAAACTCGGTGGCACGTGGTATTCCCCGCCAACACGGGTGCGAGGAAGTCGTCAGTTTTAACCATGGCATCGCACTTGACTCCCTCTTTGGTGAGCTTCTACAATACAACGTTACTCTCCCGAAAGCAATGGTATACTGCGGCACCGTCCGTACGCCGTTTCACGTCTGTCGGAGTCCCTCCAACCAGCCCGCCCGCACTACTGCTGTCAACGTCAAAATGATCGTTATTCTCGCGGTTCAATTAGGTTACCCAATAATGCCTAGGGTGTGTTTGGTTCTTATTGTTGTGGGTATCTGTAAATTCTCAGTTTTGGGATCGCAATACGTCCTGCGCCTTTTCTTTTCTGCCGCGCAGAGCGGAGACGATGGTCTTCATGAAAGGCACTCCGGACGCCCCTCGTTGCGGCTTCAGCCGAACCCTGGTCGGACTGCTGAGAGAGGAGAACATTGCCTTCGAGTCGTTCGACATCTTGGAGGACCAGGAGGTTCGGGAGGTCTTGAAAGACCTGTCCAACTGGCCGACGTATCCGCAAGTACGATGTTTTTTTTTCTTTTGCGTTCCTTTTTCTTGGTTTAGTTCTGTGAGGATGGAACCTTGTGTCGCAGCGAGGTCTTGGCTTCGAATGGCCGAGGTGTACATTGGCCACCTATCCGCGGTAGCGCTGCACCGTTGATGAATGTTCACATTGTTGCATCTGGCACGCGTTGAGACTCTTGTGAATGAATGTGGTGCTAGAAGACCTAGAGCAACGTGCCTGCACCACAAAGCACGGAAAATCAGGGACTGTACTGTAGTGGGGGTCGCGCAGGTTAGAACGGGTTTACGTTCGACACGAGGGCAATGACAACCACCGCAAGCCAAGTGCTATCTGGTCGAGCATTGGTACATACGTGATCAGCATCTCCTTGTCACTGGTCATGTATCGGCACGCTTGGCTGTGCAGAACAGACCGTAGTTTGTAGTTTGAGCTGAAGGACTTCGACGATGCACCCCTCTCATTAGTGATGATAATGCTCGGATGCGGGTGTACTCTCTTTGTAGGCTTGTTTAAGAAAATGCACAGTTGCCTTGGTTACCCATGTGGCTCTTCCGTCGATGTCGACGCCCTCCTTTTGGCGCTACGTGTGAGCAACTGCAATGGCCTGTTTGCGTTTTGTCGCCTCCGTCTGATTTCACTGTCGTGCACCACTTTTTTTCTCTGCTACGCCCAACTCTGCAGCTTTACGTACAAGGGGAGTTGGTGGGAGGCCTGGATATCGTGAAGGAGATGAAGCTTGAGGGGCCCCTTGCTCCGCAGCTTGGCGTGACACCCAAGGTATGGCACATCTCTGTTGTCTCTGTACAAGTGGCTGGCAACAGTGCTTCGCTTCTTCAGATGCGAATTTGTACTGCGCTAAGCTGAGGATACTCAGTCCCGTGCGTTGCGATAGTCGCGAGTAGTTCGTAGTAGAGGTTGGAAGGTTCGGGCGAGGTTATCGGAACGGTTGGAGTAGTCGCCACCGTCGGTGTCTAGCAGGCGATGTCCACCAGTGACATGCCTAGCAGACACCGGATATCATACTTGCGTCCTATTCCAGTATCATCCCCACCTCGCCGCAGGTTGCATCATCCGATGCGGACCCGCTTTCCCTTGGGCCCCATGAATCTAAAGTTTAACCTCTCGCCTCAAATAATAGTCCTTTCCTTCGCCCCATCTGCTTTGCACGACCCGGTATCCGAATCGGTACTTCTGATCCTGCCGCAGGAAAACCTGGAGTCGCGGCTGAAGCGCCTGATGACCTCTAGCCCGATCATGCTCTTCATGAAAGGCAACCCCGACAGCCCACAGTGCGGGTTCAGCAGGACGGCGGTGGGGCTGCTGAGAGAGGAAGGGGTGGAGTTCGGCACCTTCGACATCCTGGCGGACGATGAGGTGCGGCAGGGGCTCAAGAAGCTGTCGGAGTGGCCCACATATCCCCAGGTGAGAGAGAGAGAGAGAGGCATGTGCTCGCTTGACATGGCACACGGCAAGTCGTTCCGTGGAGAAGTTGTGGTGTCACGGGCATGTTCCACCGCAGCAGGAGGTGTTGAACTTGGGGGCTGTTTCGTGTTGACGGAATCTGCGTCCCGTGTTCGCACGGTGCCGAGGTACGCAAGGGGTGCAAAGACCCGTTCGGAGTGGCCGACATTTGCCTTCAGGGGCACTTACTTGAAGGTGCACGAGAATATGATTTTAGCCACCCGTCGGTGCAGTAGCTGTGATGTGGTGCTGCGGTACGAGAGGCTCGTTGCGACGAGCGGAGCTGAGACAGCAGACCAGTGGGTGTCGCAGACAGCTGCGAGCGTCTAGCACCACTCGACAGCCGTGGTTCATCGTCTCCACTAGACCATGCTCCCAAGTATACATTTATTTTTTTGTCTTTGGATTCAGCCCCGATTCAGGGTCGCCGCTGTTGCTACTGTGACTCAGAATGTGCTGCTGCTGTCGTTGGCTCTCTGGTTGATTACGTGGTGTTTTGGCTGGATTCCTGTCCAGCTGTACTGTGGCGGCGAGCTCGTGGGAGGATTGGACATCATGAAGGAGATGAAGCAGGCAGGCGAGCTTGAAGCAGCGCTTCGGCCGCAGGCCTAACCCGTCGCCAAGCCATCGGCGGCATGAGTCCACACAACACCTTGGCTGTTTCGACTTATTGTGTTGTACACATGCGGAGAACCGAGCATCTTGGCGTCTGGCACGACAGCCCGTCGAGATGACTGTGTGAAGGAGCATCGTGCAGCGACAGCGAGCTAGGCGGTTCCAAGTTTCCCCGGTGGAGCATGTATTGTGAAGGCTTGTTGGTCGACGAACAATGCTTCGACCATGGCGGCATTCAATATTGGTAGACGTTTTGAGATCGGCGTGCGGTGTGTTTCAGTTGATGGAGTGGAGCGCTAGTTCATAGCAAAATACGGCACACGATGCACGAAAGTGGTGGTCGAAAGTTCGTGGCAAAGACGGCTAGGCGCTACTTACGGGTACGTACGTATTTGCCGTTGGCATCGCAGCGTGCCTCGGGCAATCGTGCTGGTCCTAGGACCCCTAAGAGATTTTTGCTTTTTTTCAAAGGTGGTGGTATTTGATGGTGACGTGGTGTCGTGTTGCAGGTGTGAGGACGAGGTGGAAGAAAGTGGGTGCAATGGCACTCACTGCGGACGCGATGAACAAGGCAGGGGGGGAAATCACGTGGGCGAATTGCGTTAGTTCGGTGTAACGTGGCGTCTCACAACACGCATTGTCAATCCAGCTGTAGATTGAACGGGTCCACACGAAGGTGTCAGCCCGTTTGCCGGTCCACCAAGAAAATAATATTATTGATGAAGCCTTTTGAATGATACACACACACAAAGAAACCATATTTTTTGTCGAAGGAGCCGACAAACATACAAACATACATGTGCGCACGCGCGAGAAAACAAGACCAAACAAATAAAAAATAAAAATGTAACCGCCGAAACGCGGCGGAATAATAGGCAGCCTCTCGCGGGCCCGGTGACAGGTGTGACAGATGTGCTCCGACCCTGTCGTTGGCAGACTACTAATACTTCCGGCCTCGAAGTGAGGATCCCGCTTACACCGATGGTGCCAGTATGTACGCTTCTAGGGGTAGCGGGCACGTCTAAGCTGCTCGGGGGTGAAGGGGCGTGGCACCAATATTGCCAATACCGTGAATTAATATTATCCAGCAGCCTCGTTAGAAAGGGGGAGTCTTCGTTGCAACGGGGGGTTTCTGGCGTGTTCGCCAACCAGTGCATTGGGGAGCAGGAAGTCGTCATGACCTTCAGGAGGCATGGTGACACGGTGGTCTCGAATAACCCGTTGAACAAGAGGAGGAGCCGCCTCCTCCAGAACAAGAACAACGAATATCCCGTCCGCGATGGGGGAGACCCCATCGACGTAGTAGACGTTTCCGCTTTCGGCTTCCCCGTCCTTGTCAAGAACAACTCGGAGAAGCCCAACGTTTATGTTTGCACGGTGACCGCGGGTGTTGGGTTGTCTCAAGAGAAGCACGTCTTCGTATTCTCGATGAGGAATATCGCGGCGGGGGAGGAACTCTTCCACGAGGAGATCGTGATCAGCCTGTGACCGGGCTCTTGGTGGCTGTGTTGTAAAGCCCTACTTGTGCAATGTGCGGCTTTCCAGTTACTACTTTACATAATTCTGTCAGCGAAATTCTTAGACCTACATACAGTATTATAGTAGTCTTCTTCAGTCTATCATGTTCGATTGGTATCATCGCAGGGGGCGAATTGCGTTATTATAAGCTGGCGTCGCTGTCAGATTGTCAATCCAGCTAGCTGCAGATTGGACGGGGCTTCAACTTGATGGAGGATAGGCCCAGTTCCACGCGGAGAAGTTGTCGGCTCGTGTGCCGGTCCACCGAGAGAAGAATATAATGATTGATGAACCCGATGATACACACACAGAGAAGACAATTTTGTCGAAGGAACCGACAAACGCGCGCGAAAGAACAAAAAAATAATGCAACCACCGAAACGCGGCGGAATAATAAGCAGTCTCCGCGGGTAACACAGTAGTAGGCGTGTAGTGTATGCCCCGACCTCGTCGTTGGCAGGCTTATCCCAGCCTCGAAGTGGGTGATCCCGTTGTAGATTGAAATTTGATGGCAAGTAGTAGGCAACTATACGCACGCACGTACGCGCAGATTGGTCGAGATCGGAGTTTGTTGTTTTATTGTACAAAATGAAATGGATGCATGCATGCAGGAGGATGGATGATGTATCAAGCTTGGACGATGTGTTCTAATTAATTAATGTGTTTCGACGAGGAAAAGAGCGAGCCATCAATCATCAAGTAAGTTGTCAAGTTGCTGACGTGCGTGCAAAGTGCGGCGGAACGCACTTCCGCGTCGGTGGGTGTGGCCTGAATAACCCAATGATTGACACTATTTTACATGGTACAATATGGACGTGTCCATGGACACTGGAAAGAAAGGCGCCCGTGGACGGACGTTGTCCGTGGACGTCCGTGGACAAGTCTATGATGGACGTCCACGGATAAAAGTCCATGGACGTTCATCGACGGTGGTCCACGGACGAACACCTCCTCCGTCCATATGGACGCCCACGGATGGATGTCCACGGGCGCGATGGGCCAGACTCTATTGATGCAACAACTCCGAAAAATCCGTAGTAAGTAGTTTTGATTGCATACTACCGTAGGCGACAGACGATGTTACACCCCCCTGGCCCACTTCTCGCCGCTCGATACGTTCTTAATTAAGCAAAAAAAGTGCAACAATGATTGATGACGACGTACTACTTCCTCCTCCTCCTCCTCCTCCTGTAGTCCACACAACAGACAGAGTGGGGGTGTCGGAACCGTGTCGTGGTGCTTTCCCAAGAGATATCGCTTTGATTTCTAGACAACAGATAGTCTATACATTGTATATATATATCCTCTTTTTCCAAATAAGCGAAACAACTCAGCTAATGACTCATTTCTTTTGGAACAGGCCATTGACCAGGTATCACACGTAAGTGTTGACAACCATCCATTGAACCAACCACCTGCCTTGCAAGCTTGCCCTTGCCGCTTCTACAGTAGTACCACCACTACTGCACAACAACAGGGAACATAGTCTCCCAAATCAACTCGTAGCCTTGGTCTTGTGGGGTTACGTTTGACTTTTGACCAATCTACCCCGATGACTCATGCGGACCCCTACTTCCGAGGTATGTATGTATGTATCGCGTGGTGTCTCGCTACATTTTCTGCGAGCCAGTCGCCTCTTCTTGCATTTGCCTTCCACCTCCCGTGCCCGTCCTTCTTCCTCTTCTTCATATATATATATTGCTTTTTCGTCGTCTTTGTCGTCGTTATCGTCGTCTTTGTCGTCGTCCTCCTCCTCCTCTTCTTCTTTCTCCTCCTCCTCCTCCTCCTCCCCCTCTCCTCCTCTTCCTCCTCCTCCTCCTCCTCCTCCTCCTCCTCCTCCTCCTCCTCCTCCTCCTCCTCCTCCTCCTCGCCCATGTCCTTCTAGGACCGGGTGCCGGTCATGTTTCGGCCAGATGCGTCGTTCCCTTCCGTGCTCCCAAGTGCGCCAGGGGGGAGGACTTTGTACCCTGACAACCAACGTCGGCGAGGCTTCCTGACTTTCAATTTGTGGAGTACCTTTGGCTTCCCGCCACCCATTTTGCTCTGACTAGTCTGCCACACGGGCGACTGGCGGGCTAGCTGCTGCTCCTAGGCCATCCTCACCGGTTCCGTAAAATGCCATGATGAATACTCGCTATGGTCGCCAGTATTCGGAGGGCGCAGGCGGACATGATCGGGGAGTTGAACAGACCAATCCATTTGTTTCCCCGATCCAGCTTGGAGGGGTTCAGGTAGCTGTCCCCTGATCCCAAGGGCAAACAACGCCTCCTCAGGCGGTTGCCCGACCAATAAACCCCAGGTGTCATTTTTGACACCACCACCCCCTGCAGGGAAAGATCAATTGAGCCATATCCTGTGCCTTTGCCCACCAAGTGGGAATGAATGAATCCCTGTGAGTGCTGAACCTGATACGCCGATGACTGACTGAGCTTGCGGGGAACTGTGTGATCGCTGTTGGACGTCGCCAATCGCCTTCTAGTCGTACTGCTGCTTGACTGCTGTTCTACATAGATAGATAGATCGTTCCCCGCAGATAGATACAGGTGTACTTTCTCTGCCCAGGTGAGTCATGCATGATCCGATATGTCATTGAACCTTATCTGTTTCACAGACACCCACCCCCAACTGACCGCCGATTTTCGATGAGTAGGCTTATGTGTCTTGATTGTTTTGTCACGTAGACCCTTGGCGTGACCCAGAAATGCCAGACCCCCACCCCCCCCAATCCCCCAAAAAGAAAGAAACAATTGAAAGGTAGTAAAAAACACACACATTGACTACAGACTACGATGAGTAGTTCTCGATGTATCTAATACCCTCACGGAGGCCCAGTGGGGTAGACTAGTTGCCATGTACTTGGGTATAATGGAGCCCTACACTCCTGCTGTCTTCATCAAGATGATGTGTCTCTCTCCGTCCACTCCTCTCAATTATTGCGGGACGTTAGCGATTGGTGATTGTGGCCGAGGAATACAAAGTCGAGAGGACGGCCGCAAGAGAGGCCACCCGCTTACATTCTCTACCGCAAAGAAAGCTATGCATACTTATACAGCAGTAATACTGTAGTACGGGCACCTGGTGTGCCGCGTGCCCAACAACGTCGTCCTGAAAAAAGGTGTTTGGAGAGGCCACACACGTGCACATTACGCTATGACCATGAGCGTACACAGTAATACTGACTATTTGATGGACATGTCCGTCCGTGATCGTCCGTGGACACGTCCATGGACGTCCACGGACACGTCAATGGATGTCCACGGACGTCCGAGCACGTCCACGGACACGTCCGATGTCCACGGACGTTGTCCGTGGACATTTCCGTGGACATGTGTCCGTGGACATTTCCGTGGACATGTCCGTCCGTGGACTTGGGCCGAAGCGTCGTCACACGGACATTGCCCGTGGACATTTCCGTGGACATGTCCGTCCGTGGACTTGGGCCGAAGCGTCCGTGGACGTCCGCGGACACGTCCACGGACATGTCCATGGACGGGTTCATGTTCGGAAGTCCTTATGGGAAGTTTTCGGTGTCCATTGTCTACCGACGGATGGATCACGTTTCCTTTTGTTCGTGTTGACGCGCGCCCGCCCCCCTGCTATGGGTCTTTCACACTTACTTTCGGGGGTCTCGATAATTCGTCCATGAGCAGCCCACGGGCAGCTCATTCATGGTGGGCACTCCGTGGGCTGCATTTTTGCCCACGACGGGCCGCCCATTGTCGCGCCCATGGGCAAGCCTAAAATGCCTGCCATGGGCTGCCTACAAGCTGGGCCAGCCAAAAAGCCAACAAAATGGTTCGAAGCGATTTCCGAGCCGATTTTTACGAACTAGAACCTGAAATTTTGATATGTGATTGGAAACGGTCTTACAAATGCCCCCGAAGGAGGTGAGTTTTATTTTTGTTTGTTTTTGGTGAGGTATTCCTATATTCAATAACTGAGAATCCCAACATAGGGGTTTTTGTGGCTCAAAAAAAAAAGGAAACCGCACCTCCTTCGGGGGCATTTGTAAGACCGTTGCCAATCACATACATACCAAAATTTCATGTTCTAATTCGTAAAAACCGGCTCGGAAATCGCGATATCCTCACTTTCGCTCAGTATCTTGGGTGTTGTATAGAATCTTTTACGAGGCCATAACTTTTGATGGAAGATGACCTGAGCCTTGTAACTACCGTCATTGTTCTCGCAATGCTCCCAGGTAAGTGCACACCAATTTTCGGCTTAATCTGTAAAAATTTTTACTGATTTCAGTACCGGAGCCATCCCCCACTACACCGCCAATTGAGCATTCAATACCCAAATCAACTCAGATTCGAAAAATTATGGCACCAGTGCATCCTCTATTGTCTTCTAAGTGTAACCACAAAATTTTAAGCCTAAACTCGTGGAATTGGCAGCGTGAGACGCGAAACAACGAAAGTGAGCTTCTTGGCTGGCCCAGCTTGTATGGGCTGCTCATGGGCACCCCAACATGGGCAGCCCATCGTGGGCAGCCTACCACGATACCCGCGGGCCGCCCATCGTGGGTAAAAATACAGGGAAGTACGGTTTGGCCAAGGTCCCTTTTCGGTTGGCCCATAACGTTTGGTCGCGGCCACTACAGTAATCTACTGTACCAAAATATTCGCATATATATTCCCGTGATCCCCACAACAAGACGGACTACAGGAAAAAAAAAAACTGAGAGTGTGAAAGGGTCCTCTCCTACATAATAATTGAAGAATTTTTTCACCGAAAATTATGCTAGGGATTCAACCCCGGCCCTCGTGAAAAGAGGGCGCGCGCGTAAACCCGTGAGGTACACGTGCAGCGAGCGATGTCTGTGTGTCCCCAAGCATATTCTTGTACTAAACTAATATTCAGTGGGGGGGCGTCAATAACGCCGGTTGGTTAGCTCCGGTGGCCCTGTGTAGCGTCAGTGAAATTTCTGAGCACAGACTGCATCACAAGTAATTATGTGCATTGAATAGCGCCGGTCCCTCTGAATAGCGCCGATCCATGCGCCGGGCACATACCGGCGTTGTTGAGGGCCCCCCACTGTATCATGGAGGGACAACTGGTAACACATCCATTCATTCCAGCGTTGAAAGGGTTGTCATTCCACAGCTCCGTAGGTTGGACGGCGCGTCTAGAACTGATAGCAGCCAGTCAGTCAAATTTGTCGCTCAAAATTGATCGAGATCGAACTGAGCAATTTGGTGTCCGGAGCACCTTCTACGTGCTCGTGTTTCGTGCATGCGACGGCTGATCACCGACGACACAGCCACACATTATCATGCAGGAGGCGCCAATAAAGCTGAAACTTGCTGAGGGCGTCTAAAGTAGGGCGGAAGAAAGGCGGATGGTCTGATTCCTCGCGCCTCGGGCGTTCGCACAAAAAAATGCGTGGTTCGGGTCTTCCGATACCGGCTGAAAGTGATCAGACAATCAGACAGACAATCTTCAGACATATATTTTTTTGCCCTTCTGTGAGACCTCTAGAGACCGTGACGGTCTCCAAGAGGAATTGTGCTCTCGCCGTTTCGTTCCTATAGAAGTGCGGTAAATTGTCTGGAGGAAGGACTCTCGCTGCGTACATATATATGTTGTCGTGGTGGTTGCTGTCTTTGTATGCCATCGACTGCACTGGTGCAGCAGCAGCAGCAGCTGCAGCAGCACTTGTTGCCGATGTGACCTCACATCCTACGTATCGATTGATGGGAGGGATTATGTCGGGAGGAAAGAAGTGTGTCGTGCGATCGATCCCCGCTCGGTTTTCGTTGGTGCTGCGATGCCCAAAGACACGTTTTTGTACGTTGGCTTGTCGCGGATGTAGAAACGCAGGCAGCGGATGGATGAAAGTATGGCAGCTTGCCATGTTGACTTGGGGGAAGGGAATTGTCGATAGAGCTGGAAACGTGTGATTATTTCCTTCCGCTAACATTCCGTCCTCCGAAAAAACGCGGTTTTCTCTACCTGGGTTGATCTTGCGCCTTTAGGTTGAATTCGGCATCATCCAATATTTGCTGCTTGCATCCATGGGCCACAAATCGGCGCGCTGCCGTTAGTTCACGGCATGGTGTTACTAATTTGGTACCCACACAAGAGTGGGAAATACCGACACCCGTTGGGCAATGGATATTGCCATGATCCTTGAAGGGTAATAAATAATGCAGTGGCAGAGCTTCTTGTTTCTTTGTCGAAAGGCTTCTTAAAACGAAGAAGCATCATAGTAGCTAAGTTCTTCCCAGGCCCAATTGGCCGCTCCCCCCCCGGCCGACCCTGCTCCTCCTGTCGCAACGGCGTCCGCGCTACCACCACCATCCAACATTGCCTCCAACGTGCCAGAAGAAAACCCATCCCTCCAACCGGGTCGCTCTCCCTTTTGAGACGCACGTATTCTGGACGGAAGGTCGTCCCCATCGTCATCCTCGGTTTCTTCGAGGAGAAGGAGGGTCCCTTGGTTCACGAACGCGGCCCCGGTGGAGACGATGACGTCACCGGTAGACCAAACCACGTCGCCGCGGCTCACGAGGTGCAAAGAGTTGAGGATGTGCTTGGTTGTTGCTTGGAAGGCGGAGGAACCGCCGCCGCCGTTTCCATCGGTCCACTCCGATCCCCCGGCGCAGACAACCTGGTTTTACACGACGACCAAACCAAGGTGTACAGGGAAGTCGTTTTTTGTCGAAAACACGTGCTTTGTCGAAAACACGTGCAACAACAGTCCACCAGAAAGGTGGGTTTTCCAAATGGGCTGCCCACGGCACGTGGGAAATTGATGTCATCAAGACGATGTTGGTCAGTGCTCTCACCCTCGCGTTGCCAGATATGGCACCGCCCATCCAAACAAAGGTCCCTTCCACCGTGACGCTGCTTCGAGACGCCGCTCCCCACCCTGCCCCCCCATCCTGGTCCCCCTCCCCTGAACCCCACGGGGCTTCCGCGTCCACGCTGCCCCCCCCGGCATCTACCAGAGACGCGAGGACGCTCGGAAGTGGAAATATGATTAAACCGTCATCCATCAATGTCGCTTCTCCGGAGATGAGTGTGGACGAAGTGACGGATGAAAACACGAGGACGCCCTTGTCCTGAGAACAGAGGGGTTAAAGGTGGGCAGGTCCGGGGCGGTGGTAAGCATGCGATGGCAGCAATCAATGCTAAACACTAAGTTATTCATGTATGCATAGAAAATCTCGTCTCGTTCATCTATACTCCAGTCATTCCGTTGAGCGAAGCACCTCTTTCAGGGCACCCCCCCCACACAAGGAAAAAAGGTATCCGGAACGTGTATCACTTGAAACACCTTGCCGTAATTCCATCCAAGTGGCGGTGGGGAAGGGAAACAACAGAGAATGAGTTATATGTGCCTTTCGAAGGTCAAGGAAACTTCTGTCGAAATCTGCTTGTCTTCACAATGGTGGGAAACTTGCGAAGGCTCATTGACCCGCATATACATATGTGGTAAACTTCTAGAGTTTTTTTTTGCTTTCCTTTCAGTGAAGTTCCGTGTTTCCCCTGGTGAACAATGGGCAACGGTTACATGTAACGGTCGGTATTGGTTGTTTTTCTGTGAGAGTCGTCAATGGAACTCAGGAAGGCATTCTGATTCTGAACTATGGTAGGTAGGGCGTGTGCCGGCGTCCAGCCATTCATTCCACACCACGAGGTAACGCGTGCAAGCAACACACGGGGTTTCTTTTCCCCTGGGAATCTGGGAATCGCGTGCTCGAGGGATACATCAAGCGCCGAGGCTCACCGCAACAGTGACACCCCTCCCCAGCAGCAGATAAGTCCCGGCGAATGTTACCACGCCGTGACCAGACACTTTCACCAGTGGGGAAACTTCCTGCCCCCCCTTCGGCAACTCATGCCCCGTGCCCGCCGAGAACTCCAGGACGCCTTCGCCGGCCACGCTCGAACTCCCGCCGAAGACGAAGCCACCGGCACTGTCGATCCATATTATATAATAGTGGTTTCGCCGAGGAGTGCGATGGGGGGGATCATCGAAGGGGTCCGAGGCGTTGTCAAGGAGGGGTAAAGCTGGAGAGGAGAGTTGGCAACGGAGGTGATTTTCTATGTGCATTACACGCCTGCTTTCGACACGTTGAACGGGGTGCGTCTGTTTGTGGCTAGAGTGAACCAGCTCATCCGTCTGAAAGTGCAGCATCCGCACCCTCGCGTTAGCTCCGCGAGGAAATATTAGTTCCTTTTGGTGTCCTCCGAATCACAAGCAGCGACCAGAGGTATTAGCAAGCCATTGTCATCTCGTGATCCTGAGAGTAGGAATAGCGCGAAAGAATGCACGGTAACAAACAAACTTGTTTTCACCTCTGAAACCAGAAAGTCCACACTTTATTACCTGAAGACGAGGGTGCTGTTCATGCCCGGCAAGTCCACGGTGCCGTTCCCTCCTCCTTGCCCCTCGCCGCACCATTCCAGGCGGCCGTGGTCCTCCACTCGCACGGTGCCCTATCCACGAGCGAGAGGATTAGTTATTGCGAAGGAAGAACAGAACAAATGAACAAGCAACACACCAAGAACGACGCAAGTTTCAATTCTTGGGGGCATGAAAATGTCTGCTTTGCCTATATTTGCCGCGGATTTGTGTTGTCCACCACACATTAATTGCATCTACCAATCTAGTGAAGGTTTGAACAGCCGGAAGAGCAAAGCGTGGGGACCTCGACAGCCAAACTTGAAACTGTACAAGGTTGGCATCTCGCATCCGTCTCCATGTCTACAAAAGATATTTGTTTCTTTCAGAAGGGTTTTCACTATTGTTGAAGCAAAGCATTCGCATTTTCGGCAAAACCGGCAAGACCAAAATGCTGGCACTTTCTCGCCCCCCAAGATGGCAAAAACCAAGAGCAGACGGCTACACAACCCATCACATTGAAGAGGAACTACATGCTCCTTATTCGTTCGAAAAACCACGTGTTTTCCTTCTCTGAAGGGGTGTTGGTTTTCGGACAATTGGCACGTCCCGTGCTTTCACCCACCTCATTATGCAGGACGAAACCAAGGACAACATTGCTACCTTCCACGCCCAGGATCTCTCCCCCATCCCGATTCTCGCACGAGGGCTCCACCGTGCAGCCATCACCACACAAAGGGTTCTCGTACCATTGTTCGCCGTCGAAGTCGAGGGGTGCTCGTGCACCGAAGTCCCCACCTCAGGATCAAGATGCGTCAAATTTGACGTTCGAAGTTGGATCGAAAGACACGAGACGTGATGTCGTGGATGTGGGCTGGAAGCAACATAATTTTCACTAGGCGAGGCGCTGTAGTCAAGTGCGTTGGGGCTTTTTCCCGAAGGCGCATGGACAAACTTCTTGTTGCCACAAGGAACCGAAAACCTCCCCAAGACATGACAACGGTCGGTGTTCGATCAATCAACTCATCCATGGTCTAAAGGTGAATCTACACCACGCACGGGGGTTCGGAGGTAGAGGAAACGTTCTGGCTCCTTACCCTTCCCGAACCAGATCCCGCCTGCGGCCGAGGCCTCCAACAGGCCTCGATTCACCACCGTTACACCATCCCTCGCCTTCAACCCTCCCCCGCTCCACTCCCCGCCTCCGTACATGTCAAGCGTCAGCCCGTTCCTGAGAGACGACGCATCGTCCTCTTCGTCACCAGCAGATGCCACGACGAGAGTGGAGCCCTCCACGGAGATGCGACCCCTGCCAGACAGACCGCCGCCGGCTAGCGTAAGCGACCCGAGAACCACCACCGTTGCCGCCGGCGTCGCCGCCGCCAGGCGGACCTCCGCGTCGCCTTGGACGTTGACGTCGCCGTCGATGGTGGCGTTGAATCCCGGCGGCGACGCTACCGCGGATCCCGACCGCCCCGGGGTGTCAGGGTCGGAGTGGAGGAGGCTGACGGCGTCGAGGGCTTCCCAGCCGGCTCCTACAGACGACGGGGATCACATGTTGCAAGAAACCAGTTGTGGATATGAATGTTGTCTGACTCAGGAGTGAGGTGACGGTCAGGTTTCAATCGGCGAGGAGGCGTATAAAAGGTAGGTGTTGGCGGAACCGCTATGTATTCGGTCCGCTCGGTATATATCAATGACGCGCATCGCAAAACAAGTTGGCTTGGCCCATATAACAAACGCAACGCGGCATTATTAACAACAGCGTCCTTCGGTCGCACAAGACCTCCAACATTTACTGTGCCAACCCGCACCTGCAAACCAGAGCACACCGCCGGAGCTGACATTCACCGCTCCGACAAGCTCCGCCGCCGAATGGGGACACACCACCTCCGCCCCGGACATCACCTCAACATCCGCCGTCACCGCCGAGGGCAAGAAGTACTGCCCGCCGTTGGCAAACGCGAGCACCCCGCCCCCGGAAACAACCGTCTCGCCCCCCTCTTTCAGCGTCTCGAGCTCCACCGTCCCCTGCACCCGGCACGTGGAGCTGTCGAACTCGGCGCTCGTAGAGGCACGGTCGTCGCTGCTGTCGAATATCGCGGCGCCGCATCCGACGCGGCTGCCGCCGGTCCCCTCGATGCCTCCCGAGATGTCGACGCAGCCGCAATCGTCGGCGCTTCCGGCGCAGGAAAGGGCGAGGGTGTTGCTTCCCCCGGAGAGAGCTCGGGTACCGTCAAACGTAACCACGTACCTGTTTACGTTGCAAGGTGTTTACCGCAGAGGACGACAGAACATCACTACAGGTAGCGTTTCGGTTGCGTTGCAGTCGTAGTGGGCGAATACAACCGTACATTGGGGTCGATTTCAAGGGCGGGTATTGTACACATAGCGTCCTTGAATAACATCTCTTGGTGATGGGGGAAGCGCTTGGTGGGTTGGGCAAAGCAGAACAGTCCGAATAGTTGTGAGCGGAATACAAAGGTCAACCCCCGTCCGGGCATGGTGCACCTGTAGCCGTACTGCCATCGCTCTAGCTTTCCGTCCCCGTCCCTCCGTACGGTGACACCACCCTCCTCGTCGATCGAAGACATTTCTTCCAGAGCCTCCTGCTCCAGTATGTGTGGGGATGGGCGGGTGGCGTGTGGGAGTGCCGAGGGTTGAGACCCCCCGGAGTCTCTGCATGTTTTCTACAGCACTATATAAGTATTGCTTTTGACTGCACGAAACTGCAAAATATGAAAATATCTTTGCAATGTCCGAGGACTATCATGGGTCTTTGGGAACAACAACACGAAGAAAGGGCCCGTTGTCAAATCCAATTGCCACTCTCGATGCAAGTAGGCCGCTGCAGTACACCACCGTGTGTAGGCACCACGACGTTCCAGCGACGCTCAACATGCTACCCCTCCCCCAACCCCCAACCCCTACTGTGCTTGCCTCGACGGTCTCTTCTGAGGCGTGGTACCCGATGCAGCTAGTCTCCTCGCCCCCGAACGCTAGTCGGTAGTAGCCTGCCCTCCCGGCGAAGGTTTCGACGTCTTGCCCCGTAACCTTTTCGGAAACGCAGGCAGAGGGCACAGATATGAATAACGTACGGTGTCGGTAAAACGGGCAAACCTCAAGGCGTGTGCAACGTTTCCGCAACATTGAATTATGCAAAGTGTAAAGTGCCATCTGCACTTTTTCTCGGAATGACAGCTTCGTCCGGCTGGAAGAGCGAGAGTTGGGAAACAAGCGCTGCGTCGGAAGCTTTAGTGGTTCTTTGCACTCACCTTTCAGGCCTCTTCTATGCCAGCTTGAACGACCGTACAACCTTTGAGCTGCTGTAGAACATGAGGGCCCATGCTACCTGAACGTATTGCTCCCGGCAGCTCACCTCCCTGTCCGCTTGCAGCGTTACCACGACAACCTCAGATTGATGCATGATGAGCGAGCTGTCCGAGAACCTAGCTTCTCCCCCCACCTCCACCGTCCACGTCCCGCTCGAACTGTACCCACCCCCCGTGGAATCTAGCTCTCCTTCCACCTACAACATGGATCGGATCGGATAAGATAGGTAAATGCGTGCGTCCCCCCCCCCATGGTCGACATCCTCGGCGTTTGCCATCGGGGTTGGTTTTGCGTCGCTGGCAATGGCGTTGTAAAACAAGCCGATCACTTCGTGAGCTCGGCAACCAGGTTACCGCGTTCTTTTGCCTCTGTTTGTTGTTTCTTGCGGTAACCGTAATGGTGGTCGAGTAGATTATGTTGTGCGGGGTCGAGAACCCTCAAAGGGGATGATCGCACCACGTCGTGTTAAATTGGTCAAGCACCCTCGAGGCAGTTACACAGTGCTAATAACTGTCTCTGGGAGGGAAACACCAGAAAATAAACTAAGTCATACGCAGCTGTCATCCGTACGCAACGAATTAAGCACAAGATGCCGAACACCCTCAGCAGGATGCAGCGTACGCTTCATGCGACTCGCCGAATACCTCACGGTGCTTCGCGCTTGGTGATGTGAGAGCCTGGTCCGGTGAGAACCCGGCGCGCTCCGTCCCGGCTTTGTAGGGGTGCGAGGTCAATGGTCTAACGACTACGGCATGCACGACTATGAGTACACCCCCCCCATGGTCGACATACGAGTATGAATCGACAAACTTGATGTTTCGCTTTCAGCAATACCCTATCTGCGTGCCTGCTTGGTCCTCCTGGTTACTTTGCACCTCAAGAGCCTTAGTCCAAACAACACATTCAATGTACAACGACGCCGTATCGTATTACAATCTTGCCAACGCATTATGTTGAACTTTTCATCTGGTACCCTGCCTTGGAAAAGCATGATGGTACGGAACCCCTCACCACCACGCTCCCGCCTTCGTTCCAGAGCAGCCACTCCAGATCTACCTCCGAACCAGCCTCAAACACCACCTCCCCGCCCTCCTCATTGACTACTGCTGGCCACGCTCCCGCATTGTCCGCCAGAAACCCCTCTCCATCTTCGGCCGCTTCCAGCAAAATGGTGCCACTGAACGTCAACGTGCCCGTGTTGTGCAAGGACCCACCCCATCCGCAAGCCTCCGCTGCCGACCAGTCCATCGAACCGGAATTTAGGACGGTCGCACCGTTAAGAATCCCGACCTCGCCGTTGTCCCCTGATACCTATTGGACCACAAGCCGTTAAGCAAATCCAAGTAAGTAGCAAACGCGGCGGAAATCCGGAGTTCCGCTCGACTTCCCAGGAGGGGGGGTGGTGGTATGAGCGGTGTCTTGTAATAGAGAGACAAGCAAAATCATAAAATAGAGAAAAACAGCCGTTTGCAAGACGCTACGTGTGCCCTCGACTGCTGTGTCTCGCTCCCCGAGGTGGATGCCCAACACGTCCACAAGTGTGGACGCTCGCGGAAGCTTTAATCTGCTACAGCCCACCTGTGCAAGAGTTGAGCTGGTCACCGTTCCGGCGCCGACGATGTACCCGCCGGCCATCTCGAGCTCGGTCGACACCGAGAGCGAGAAGGGGGTGCTGATTCCGAATGCTTGGCAGACGAAGGGCTTCTCTGCTTCGCATTCATCGTCGTACCAACGCGCTTCGCCCTGGTCCGCAGCTCGCTTCCTCGAGCCCTGGGTTGCTACGCAGTGCTCTCCCGCCTGGCCACAAAAGTCGAAAGCGGCGTGCGATAGTAGGCAAAGCTGCCTACGTAAATAGCCAAAGGAAAAGCTTCGGGATGGATGGACTCCTTTGAACTGCAAACTTCAGGAAGTTGACTAAGTTTACAGCCCGACTGTTTACAGTGCTGAAGGCTAGTTGGTGTGTTTTTTTTTGGGTGCCGGCAGTCCAACCCAGATCAGATAGACGTCATGGTTTTTGTGACAACAAGAATACGCACCTCGTCATTCTCGAAGTCAGAAGGTTCCCGCGTGGCCCACGAACGGTACCGCGACTCACCCGCGACATTCTCGAGTTCTGCCCACTCTAGGTCATCCCCCGTTTCAATCCTCCCCGCCCCACGATAGCTCCTGGTCATGCCCACCCAACAGTCGCGCTCTAGAGAATCCCCTCTGCACATCCTTGCGACCCAGTTATTTTCCTCTAGCCCCTGCACCGTTACGAGGGCTCCACGAAGAGAACCACCCCGAGCGGGTCCGGGCTGAAGCTGCGATACCGCGCTCGCGCAGGCGCTCTGCGCTGCCGCCCACGAGGAAGCGTGGTCGAAGAAGCGGTAGCATTTCTTGCTGCCGAAGGAGGAAGAGGTACCGCCTGGTGCGGGGGTCCACCCCGGTAAGCAGGTGCTGTCGTGGGTTACCAGGGCCCCTCCATTGACTCTGAGGGTGTCGATGGCTGTGTCGGCGGTGAGGACCACGAAACCGGCGTCCGTGGGAATGGTCACCTGCATCGTTTGAGGAAAAACATCAAGCAACGCTGGAGTCATGTGCGTTTTGGCTACGTTTATCTGTCTTGGGTGGTTTGGGGCGGTGCGCATGGGTATCGTGATCTTCTTCGGGATAGATAGGGAGGCTACGAGTCCGTGTTGTTCGCAGCAACGTTGCTTTCACGCTACAGTACGCATCAAGGACAGGCCATGCATGAGGTCTAGACCGAGTCATGTAGGATATACCGTAGGATACGAACATGATGGACCGTACTCGAAGCAAGTGCAACATCGTGTAGCACACGGCATCATAGGAGATAGAACACACATATATATTGGATCGAGACAGAACGACTCCCGATGATGTCCCCTCTCGACAGCTGACGCCCCCTTCCGGCAGAACATTGTTGCAACACTTGACGTTTTGTTCTCTCCCAACCCACCTCGTCCGTCGATGACGGTACCACGCCGGTGTCCCAATTCAGTTCGTCTTCCCAATATCCTAAGGTGGACAATCTCGCACAGCCGTGTTGCACCCCGCTTCCGACAACGTCGATGTCCACAGAATTGACGAGGTTTTCGCTTGAATTTGAAGCAACGATGTGGTAGACGAACCCGTAGTTGTACTCTGGCGAAGCTCCGTCTCCTTCTCTTACCACAGTCGATCCGCCCAAGTCATCAATAGGGTCCAAAGCGTCTAAGGCTGCGGCTACAGCCGTTGCAGACGCTCCGTAAAAGAGGCATGATGTGTTGTAGCCCGCACCGTCTCGAGTGATACTGAGTTTAAAGTGACCCTCATCAGCTGGAATGACATACCTGGGAGGGTGGACAATCCAAATTGGCCCAGGACAAATATATTTACGTTGGTGCGGTTCTTGCATACCTATTCGACTGGCATGGGACATGGACATGACATGTGCGTTGAAAATAGGCGATCATGTGCAGTTTGTAGGCGCACGTCCTATGGGTCTGTTTAGCCTTAGACGTTGGTTTCCGTTGTCTTTTCTAGAAAGTAAACATAACCTCACAGAAAGACTACCCGTTCGAGATATTGTCTTGTGACTAGGTAATAGTTTATCTATTTGCCTTGAAGAGAAAGCGTACCAAAGCGAGGAGGTACGAGCGCAGGTCAGAATTTGTTGTTGTGTTTCATGGGAAGGCTGATGTATTTGTGAAGGCTGAATCACGGGGATGGTCTGTTGTATCCTTCTCCCAATAGTGCGACAACCCCAACATTTCCGCCCCCGGGAAAAGAAAATAAGGGGTGATATGATACGATGATGCAATTCTCAACAATAGCACGCTGCCTCATCTCTTGCCACCTCTGCTCGGTAATATAATAGTACTGTTGTATACCTGGACGCTGTCAGCCCAAGGCTGAATGTGTCGGACGTCGAAGCGACAGACAACTGGATCGAATCGGTCTGCCAGGCTACCGATGCAGCCGAGACGGACACCACCACCAACCCCCATGTCAACAGGAGGACCAAAGCGCTCATGTGCACCAAGGCAGGAGCAGAGTGCGGCCGCACGCCTATGCAGAGGAGGGCCGTTCTCTTGCGACTTGCGACTCTCTCGCGACGCGTTCGCGATTGCGGATATCGAACCTCACAGTCCCGGCGGTTTCGTGTACCGATTCTTTTTGTGTGCCCTTACATCTTTCGGTGCAATACAATTCTGGACGCACCAGCCGCGGTCACACAGGAGGAAGGAAGGCCACACAGGAGCAGCATTCTCCGCCTTCCTTCTGCGGCGCCTGCCTTGAAATTTATCGCGAGAAGGAGGCGTAGAAACGATTTGCTTTTTTTTTTCTTTCATCGCTGCGGATGATCGTGGCATCCTATTGGTCAAAGCCGACAGGCTCGGGCTAGCGGCACAATGCCCCACCGAAATGCCACACCTGCAAGTTGTACACTTGTATCATACGCATCTTTACACTCTCCACGTTCCATGTTCCACACGACAGGGGGGCCCTCTAACGTAGTGACCGTCGAATGAGGCTCGCCTTCAGAGGTGTCATCACTGCTGGGTGTATATTTTTGCGGGCTCGCGGTTTCTTGCGCCCGCCTCTGTTTGACAAAACCAAAGCGACTTGTGCTTCTCCTGCAGCAGCCATGGCATCTACTGACGGCGAGGCACCTTCCAGACACCACCCTTCTGCTTTGCGCAACAGGGGCTTTATTGCGGCGGAGCTTGGGAAGTGGCTCGGTGGAAGCACACAGGATGCTCCCCACCTGCTGGAGGTTGCGTCTGGAACCGGGTGTCACGTGGAAGCCTTTGCTGGTCACTTGCCGGCATTCTGGACGTATCAGCCAACAGAGGTAAACCGCGGCATCGTGCATCACGCAACACGTTCGGTAGCTTTGTTGGTTGTGAGCTGTTTTGTTGTGACTGTGCTGTAGTACAGGCTTTCGGTTGCTCTTGAACTACTGCTCCTGTATGTTATGGAAATGTAGTACTCCCGTTCATAGTCAATGTTCAGCAGCAACAATAGTCGTTGTAAATATCTGTAGGTTGGACAATGCACATCCCAGAATATCTGCGGTAGACACATGTATCCGCTCCTTCGTCTGCTGTTTACAGAAGAAAATGTTGGATCATGCGTCGAGATACACACATGCATGTGTGTTGTAGATAATGTTCGCCAAGCAAATGGATGGGCGGGTGGCGCGAACAGTAAATACCTTGGCTTGCCCTCGCACGGCTGCCAGAGTTTCCCCGCTTCAACATCGATCAACCGACATGTACAGTACCGACATGTACAGTACCCCGCCCCCCCCCCCCCCGAGCACAGCAGTTGCTACGCACCAACACCTCGTCCGCTGGCCCTCCGAGAAAAGGGACCTGCGATGCCACAACTCATTTCTTGTGTCAAGATGCTTGCCAAAACGACAAGTGGGACACTTGGCAATATTGAAATATTAGTCCATTTTCCGTGGAAACAATACACAAGGAGGGAACGATTGCAAGGCTGGATCGTCGCTCTCCACAAGAGACTTGCCTTGAAAGGGCAAGAAACCCTACAGTCACTGCAAGGAAAGCTCTCCGTCGATGAGGTCTTCCCAACGCCACCCTTTTCGGTGTATTGACAGCCAGCCTCGTGGTTGTGGAGCAAGCCCTTACTTCTTACTGAAAATATGTTGCACGCCTTTGTGTTCGTCCGCACTTTAAGGTAGTCTTAAGGTAGTCTTAAGGTAGTCGAGGTCCTTCATTTTCGTTGCATGCGTTTATTCTGTGCCTTACTTCTGGGGTTAGCTTTGTGACCACAATAATTTCAATGCCTTTGAAAGTATATCGGTAAAATGAGATAGTGTTCATAGAGGTCTTTGGTGTGAATTATATAACAAGACTTAATACCGCAGTGTGTCGTGCGCTTTATAGAAGCCGAAATCAAATCATTGGACTAGTCAGCAATGGTTTGATTCTATAGCTTCTGTCCGCCTGAATTATGTTGTGTCGCTTTGTTTTGTCTATCTTTCCATCTCTCTATCAGTCGTTCCCTCAACTTCTTCGCCCTCTGCTCCCCCTCGCGCACGTATTTGTCTCACATCACTACTATCATAGTACGATCAGACGCGCATTCCAGACATCTTGGCTACCATCGAAGAGGGGAAACACAGCAACATACGCCCCCCGGTAGTACTGGACGTGTGCTCCGACCCAAGCACCTGGCCACGCCCAGCTGGAGGCGAGACTGCGGAAGGAGCCAGCAGAAGGCAGTGGGACGCTATCGTGTGCAGCAACATGATTCATATCTCCCCACAGGTAGGTTTGTTCTGGAACTTGGTGCGTAGGGTCAGGGCTGTGATTGGCCAGGCAGGCCGCGGTTCCGCGGACGAGTTATCTGTACAAAGGGAACCAAGGCGTTAGCTGCTATGCATTTGGATTAGTCTACAACGAGCTTCATAGCGTCTGGGTGGCGTTGTTGCCGCCGACTCACCATACGCCAGCAAACGAACGAACGCATTCAAAGGTCGACCACCCATACACAAAAAGACGTGTGCGTGTGTGTTGTTTACAATATGCATACTTCGAAGTATATTGTCGGGGTGACGTCTTGCAGATGGACAGGTCTATTCAAGTCTTTCCTTTTTGCGAAATTGTCATGAACGAGAGTGACAACCACAGACAACACTGCAGATCACACGATACCACGGCTACAAGAATGGCAACTGTCATCAGATACTCGCCCCTGCACTGGCCTTTCATTGCCCCGATAGGAGTGCACGGGCGGTCTGCTAGGAGGAGCGGCGGCGGGGCTCAAGGTTGGTGGGCACCTCTTTATCTACGGTCCGTTCGCGCTGAACGGCCTACTCATCCCCGACAGCAACAAGAACTTTGACACGTCTCTCAAGGCTCGCAGCGGCGGGAGCTGGGGTATCCGGGATGCGGCGTGGGTGTGCGGCCTGGCGCACGACCAAGGGCTGGAGCTGACGGCCATGACCCTCATGCCGGCGAACAACTTCTTTGTCGTCTTCAAGAAGGTAAAAAAAAGCCGCGGCGGTTGTCCTAGTTTTACTCGCAGCCCGCCGGACCGTAACGGGGTTGGAAAAGCTCGCTGGAAGGTCTACATAGCACGCTTACGAAAGTACTTCGGGAGGATGACATGTATTTTAGTTTATTCGTCGTAGCGACGTCTTGGCGGTATATCACGTAACGTTGTCTTCGATTTCGCCGCTATTATGTACTACTACTGTCACCGATTGGTTCCACGCAACTTGATGTTAAAGCGAGAAATGTTCGCGTGTGATGCACATAGGTGCGGGAGGTGGCGGCGGCGGCGGCGGCGGATGTCGAGGACAGAAAGGCTCGCGTGGCGGAGCTCGTGGCGGCAGTGGTAATGCCTGCAAGGGAAGCGCTGGTGACGAAAGTTTCGGCTAAGTAGTTCGGGGAGGCACTTCATGTCCCTCGTTCGCCGCCGCTAGTACTGGCGGTCGGTCGCCATCTACGTGTTGTTTCAGTGTCTACACCAGCGTTTCCGGCGAGCTATGTCTTGCACGTCTTGACCGTTCCAATGACGAAGCTGCTATTGTAGCGGCGTGTGGCCGCCGTGCGCAAGCATGACGGGTACCAACATGATCACAGGTTTAGGGCCAGCGGGCAGAGGGCTTGCGATGCGGCATATCAAGCGGTATCAATAGCGCGTGTGCATGAAGGGAAAGGACGGAACGAACCAAATCACTCCTTCCATCCCATTTCCTAAAGACTGACGGGTTCAGGTGTGGCTGACGCGTTCCCGTTGTTGAACCCTGCACCGTCATGGGCGAGCAATACTTGTGGCCCTTGACAGTTCGTTTGAACGTTTCTTTTGAAAGGAGAAAGTGGTATGCCTCATTAGGGGATGTATGCCTCCCTTGTGCCAACTTCTTCCACGAGGTACAACGTTGAGAGAATCGTGTACCGATGCTACTTTTTGTGTACCCTAGGCTGCGTAAACGTTTGCGAATCAGGCGAATATATTCCCCAGGGCAGCAAGTAGTAGGCGATTGCCTGCACGTTGGTAGCCGGACAGCTGCAGGTGCTATACGTCTGTCGCTGATGTATGCTACACGCTAGCCTCTTCATGATGCGATTGGTTGTTGCTGCGTTGAAGCATGTAATGCCACGGAAAGAGGAGAAGGATGGGTTTTCCAAACGTAGTGTGCTGTTGATGAATCTGTTTTGAAGCTACCGGGGGGCGATTCCCCTTTTCTTCAACCGATTTTTCACCTGAGAATCGAGATTTGTAACATGCATGGCGTACGAACGGCACCGAAAGGACATGGTATGCCGGCATGGTAAACCGGCAGAACCCACGGGCGTATGAACATGGAAACGTTAACTCTGAGGACGGGATCGTCGTAAGACGAGCTGCACACCTACTAGAGAACTTGTTATCGATCCGGTGTCTTTTTTTGTTGAGGTGGGGAGGAAGGAGAGATCGAGAAGAAGGACTGAGAGAGAAGCGCGACAGGCACACACGCTCTTGTGCACGAACGCATGGTGCATACCGGCACCTGGGCGATATATCCTCAGCCAGCCTTTCGTGAAACACGTTGTTGTTGCCTTCTCTCTCCGTGCACCTCGTCTCCCTATCATGTACCCCTTTTTCTTATCTCTGGTTCGCGAAGACTCTCCGGGCGGCGCGGCCCCCCAAGTGTAACATGTATCCAGACTCATTCCTTGTTTGGGGCATGCCAAAGAGTACCGGTAGAAGATTAATTGCGACAGACTGAGGACAATCGTGACAGTGGATATTGTTTATGCTCGCGCTACAGCGGTTCGATTGTTGGATTTGCGGAATAACATACAACGTACACGTCTCTCGCACACATTCCTCGGCACCCTCCGAGTGCTCGAGGAGGAGGCTTGTCTAAATGTTCACCTGAAAGTTCGGGCATACATCATCGAAAACTCAGACACGGCCAAAACCACCAGACTGCCCAGCGGTGCGACATGGTAGGACACAAACTGACAAGCATTCAAGCAACCCACTAGAGACTTTCGAACTACATCGCCGTTTGCTGAGGTGATTTGCACGCTCGACGCAGCGCAAGCAACTACGAGCCTACCACTTAGTAGAAACGCCCATACCCACCCACCAACGGACACACACGCAGAAAATGGCGGGGGCGCTTGCAAAGCTTGTGAGCTTTTCCGTAGGCTCGTAAAACTCTTGCAATTCGACCTTTGTCGTACGGTACAGCCTATGCCCGTCCACGTAAAAATTAATTATCACAGCGGGTGGGGCATCAACTTTCAGTTTCACACAACTCGGGGACTGTTTGCCTTCGGAATTTCTCCGATGTTCTTTGTATTCAACCAACTTCTTACGAGGGTACTATTGTCACTGTCCAGGACCCCATCTACAACGCACTTCAGTGTTAAGGACAAACAAGCGAGAAATGAACCTACGAAATATGCGCTCAGGCTTCGGCGAGGAGGGAAGGTGGTGATGTAGTCTGGTTGACCTCTGCTGGCGGCGTGACATGATTCTCCTGGTCCTTGGCCTGTGTCGCCTGCCGGATAACGAGAAACGGGCAAGAAAAACAGGAGGAGGATTGCATGCTACTTTCTATGATGAGAGGAGGGGGGGGGGGGTTGCATGTTGTGCGTGCTTCGTGTGAATGGGAGCAAACGCTCCCGACAGATCATCATGTACAAATAAGCTGTTCCTCCCCACGTGTCTCTGCATACTTGCGTTCATGATCGTGGTGCACACTCGTTCTGCACCCTGGCACCTTAAAGGCCGTGAATCATGTTGAGGTCGCTTACAGTGTACCTCACGGCAGACACGACATACTTGGATGCAACCAGTGAAGCTTACTACCTTGATAATCTTGACGTCTCGAAGCGCAAGACTATGATTTTGCATCCGGCCCCTGCACACCCCCTCCAGTACGATTTTGCCCGCCCACCCCCCCCTTCCCTTCTGGTAGTGAGCTGAGCAGAGTCAACATGACGTCCTCTACAGTTGTGCACAGAAGCAAGGGCATCGATGCTGTCAAAATACAAAACACCATCGAGATTCAGAACACTGCTGACTCCCCTTTCCGACAACCTCCCACCTCTGTCGGCCAAGAGTCCCGAAGACAAGAACCGGAAGTCCCCGAATGTGCAAACTGCAAACATAAGAAAAACAAAGACAAAGCGTGTAAACGAAGCCTGATGAACTGTGCCCGTCTCCTTTGATACCTTTCTGAGCGGATCCCAGTACTCTCGCTCCTTTTCGCGCGCCAGCTGTTCTCGCTTCTTGCGCATCCTGGAAAGATGCAGCACAGCGCCAAGGTACACAAGGACGTTTGATTGTCCTATGCTTCGTTTTCGTATAATCATTACACCGCCCATTTACCGCGGCTTGCAGTTCCTGCTTACCCCACGCCCTTGTCTCTCTAGAAACTGAAGAGCTATGATCAGGGGTAACTTGGAAGACATCCTTCTCGGTGCGGGGTATTTTGTGCGAGAAGAGGTTTTCCTGCCTACAATCGAACCACACGTACGGAGGTAAGAGTTCTACCCGAGTCCAACCGGAAGCAAGGTCGAGTTCTACGATCAGCCGTGGTTGCGGTAGAGAAACGATTGTACGGGCGGGTATTCTGCAACAAAAACTACTGGTAGTTAGCCCACCACACAACGAACGAGATTTCCTAGACAACGAATGATTCATTCAAGTGATCGAGAAGACGTATTTAGGTCCTCGAACCAAATCTAAAACCTTGCGCTCTTCTCTTTGGGCGGTGCCTAAGGCGCAACCTCTCTTCCGGTAGGTAGGGATCAAGTTCGTTTACCTTGAAACTTCCATATCCCAAGTTGGGCGGTAGCCCAGAGGATCGTGGAACAACTGGCTGCAGAATGCGCAGACCTAGACGCGAGACGATGTGCACGACGGACAGCAGTAGCACAGGTGTTACGTTGTGGCTCTCTTGACTACCGCTAGTCTCCAACATTGATTGGTCTTCGCCTATCCGTGTCACGGTTTTCGAAAAGACAAGGCAGCCCTTACGAGGGTGACGCACATACTTGGAAGGAGACCGTCACAAGTTACGGATTGTTCCAGATGTATGCGCGATGGTGTTGGCAAAGAGCGTTCAGCGCAACTTGTGCTCAAGAACAAAATTGAGCGTTGAAGGGGTCCCCTGAGCGAAACGCACAAGATATAGGCCACAACAAGGAGCTTTATTCGACGGAGAGACGCAAGCACACATACTTCGTGCGATTCACGGGAACTCAAGGATCACTCCTTAATGCCACGGCAGGTTACTCTGGATGCTTATGTGGTCTTCTCGGTAGCGAGCAGCTATGGTTGGTTCATCTCGCCTTGACTTCGTTGTAGCATTGAGGTGGCATGAGCATCGTCCGATTCGTCTTGGTTGTGCTTCCCTTTGCCTGCGGAAGGGTCTTCTGCCACGCGATACGCAGGTCCACGATAGCCTAAGCCCGCCACAGTATTGGATTGGCGTGAAAGCAATCGGGGCGAAAAGCGAGCGCTTGCCGGTTAGGAGTATACTTCAGCTGAAAGGCAATACTGATGCTTTCCTAAACCTTGCGGGACATTCGTGTTCCTGGAAGACAGCTGTACCGCTGTGACCTTCACCTTGAATGGGACGGCCAGGACGAGGTTGACCTCGCTGAAGCTTTGCTCGCACAAGGCGCAAGGCCGCTGGTGCTTTGTTCCGAACTTTTCCTGAGTCTTGACGATCTCTAGCTCGCTGCGACTGCTTCGTTTCTTCTCCTTCCTCACCACGCTCCCGTGCGCTACGCTCTCGAACACGTTTTCCTTTATCACTGCCATACCTCGTCTCACCATCTGCAGGCCAGCAAGAAAAATAGAATGCCATGTCTTGACCCAATCTCACGTTACATTCAGAGTTGTGTGTATGAACCACAGCACGAGCCCGCGAGCAACCGTACAGTGCTACCAACGGTACCTGGATTAAACAACGGTGTGTTTGTTGAAAGTGCAGGCAGATGAGCACGGAATCGCGTTTTTCTGAAGCCGAAACCTCCCCTCTAACAAGGCATCAGTTTACTTGTTTCCCTTTTATTGGTGCCGCTATTGAAAAAATAGTTCTTGTTGATTGCGCTCACTGTGTATTCACGACCTGGTTGGAATGTGCCGACTGACCTTCATTCGGAGATCATCTGGTATCCAACTCTCGTGGCTCATCTGCTGCCTGTTGTTCATCGGCAGATCAAAGGAGCAACGAAGAGCAAGCTTAGCGAGACCGGGTTGCGTAGACCCCTGCGACCCTCTGGTCCAATTGTTTTGCGGAAAGGGTTAGGGCCACAAACAATCCTAACACTACAAACTATGTTTCGCCATCAGAAAGCAGCTTAGTAGCCCGAGGTGTTCTCTCATGATGCAGAGTCAAGTCCAGCCATTCTCACAAGAACGTGACGGAGGGATAATTTGGCAAGGGAAAATTCGAAATTACGGGGCTATGACCAACACGTTGTGCAGCGAGTATTGACAACCAAAATCAGCTTCACGTCCACAACCAATTGTGTGTTTGCAAAACGGATCCGTTGTCGGTAGGGCCCCCCCAACAAATTGCGTTATGATAGTATTGGCTTGAAAAATGGGGACAACTACCTTCGAATGGCGTCCTTGCTGAATTGGAACTTGTTGAGCACCCCTCCGGCACTGGATGCTCTGTTTCCCTGCGAGTTGCCACGTTGTTATTGTCCAAAGCATCGATGTGAAAACACAGCTTTGTAACCACGCCCAAAGTACTACGGTAGGTGCACTACAAGAGGCACCATGTCGCTGAAATTCTTCGAACATTGCTCCTGATATTCTATCGCCACTTCCTCCGGCAAGTCTGAGGTCTCGCCACTGTGCTCTCAAGGCCAATACGAAAACAAACCAAATGCTTTATACCATGGCTTTGCACCAGCAACGCAACATTCTACGGCCAAGTGAAAAATGTTTTGAACCTTGAGAGGCGATGAGTGCCCGTGACCTCGCTTTGCGCTGGACGTGTGGTGCTTTCGCGGTACCTCCCGCCCCCCTTCGGTCCTAGCTCCGAGGTTCTTGCGGGATGCTCCCATTTTGCCCTGTAAAGGGCTGAGCAAAGCATACCCAAACAAGACAAGAAGACAAGAAGTTGTAGCTCTTGCGATGGGGCCAGGGGTTCGTGAAATCCTCAAGTGTTCTTACACAACAAGCCCCAATTCTTCTGTTATGCTGGTGAGCGAATGCAGGAAACCAGCCGCAAGCTTCCTGCACCATCGCCTCGCCTGTCCGCTCACGACACACTTTCGAAGCAGACGGAACCACCGCAAGATTGAAAATACGGATATGATGCAGGACTCACCTCATCTTGCAGCGTTCTTTGGAATCTCCTGCGGCCTCGGTCATCGTGGAGCCGCCCCCGCGCCCCCCAGGGGGCGAATCTGAGCCGGACCCCCCTTCGGCTTTGAGCGCTGACTGGTGGCCGCTCGTCTTTGGGATCGACCCAGCCGAAATGTCGCTGAACGTGCCGGTGTCGGTGGCGGCGACGTCTCCCACACTTTTTGAGAGATTGGCACCTAAAGAGCGCGGTAGCTCCAAGGAAGTCGACATATGCCGGTTTCCAACCTGTCGTCGTCTCCCTTTCGAGTCTCGTAAGCTAGCTATGGATACGGAGGAGGGTGCGCGTGATCTGACGATTCTCTCCTGCGCTAGCTCTCGGACGAGCACCTCCATGACGGCTGTTAAGCGCTGTCCAGCCGGGGCCATCGTGTTGTGTCGAAGAAGCTCCTGCGTGTCGACAGCAGTTGATAAAGCGCAAGAAGGACGTTTTCTCGAGACTATTGCAGTAGAAGTGCAAGGTAAAACGTAGAATAAGTAAACAGTAAAACCCTCTCTTTCGTGACAAAACAATATTCAAAGCGAGGCGGCGTGCGGTCGACTGCTGTACGTGACGGAGAATAATTTTTGTGAAATGAAGAACAGGAACACAGTCGGCGACGAACGAGCAATAATGGCTAACACCTCACTCACCAAATAGTTGGGCATGTGTGAGTCTTGAACGCATGAACGAGGGTTCGTTTAGGCGTATGAGGAATCACTCAATCGTTTTGCGTGAAAACCAACAGCCAACAGCCACGCCATCGGCCTGTGTAAGGTGTTATGTAGCATGAAACTCATTCCGCCGAGCCTCAAGATCGGAGCGCGTTCTACCTGAAAACGAGCGTCTAAGAAATGACGATCACACAAAAGGCCCTAACAACCATTATGTGGTTGGCGTACATCTCATCATCCACCCAAACGGAAAGCGCCGGTGTTTGTGACTGATGTATGATAGCGCGCATGCACGCATGCACACATGCATGTATGTAGACCAAATGGACACTTGTACTAATCGATTGAGAACAAATGGGATGGGATGGTCGATGGAGCAGCGCGAGTATGCACTGGGGCAGCCTGTGTTCTTATCCTCACCGGAAGGGCCAACTTTTCGGCAAGATAGTACCAGCTGGATGCTTCGCCCGCAGTATTAGGCTGGTCGGCGACCGTACGAGCAACATCTTCCCCCTGGCGTTTTTTTGAACGAGAGTCGCTTTCTCGATCTCGAGCACAATTCGAGCATTCCTCCGCAAACTTCTCCCCCGTTTCTTTGAATCCTTTGGCCTCCAGGTAGTCATAGACCAGAAGCTCGACAAACTTAACCAACTTACTAACATCCAGTGTCGTGGTTGACGTGCTGGTTGTCGTGGAACACATGCCTGTGTGCGAGGCTCCAGCGCCATGGCACCAGCGTTCCCAGGAGCCCACGAGGCGGGCGAAACATGAAACCGCCAAGAGGAAAACATGCGAACATACTCTTGCAACACCTTTGGTTCCCATTTGGCGCGCCCCCCCTCGAGGGTGCACCCTTTGTCACTGCTGGGTACTGGGTTGCTGTCCCCGCCACAGGGGGTTGCCCTCTCGTATTTGTCATGGGAGGATCATGGTCTTCAACGGTCGTTTCCGCAATGATGGTGTCCTCGTCGGAGTCCTTTCTTCTCTACAGCTCAACCGCTGGCAAATGTTCAACCATGGCGGTAGCGCCCACCGCAGTTGCAACAGCAGTCGCCGACACGGCACATCCACCAGCGCCACCCCCAAAGCCCGTCCCTGGTGGGGACCTGCTCTCCCTGAACTTCGACGAATTGTCACAGATATTGGGTGGCTCTGGGCGTGCCAAGATGGTTTGGTCGGCTTTGAGTGCGGGCGTTGATCCTTTCGGAGATGCGGCGGAATTTCTAACGGATAAGACGGCAGCAGTGCTCAAGGACACCGTCGAACGTCTACCGTGGCAGGTGTGGTATGCATGTGCTGCGCAGCAGCAGCAGCGTCTGTTTGAGTTGTAGGCAAGCAAGGCACGGGCTGATTTGTCGTGATAGATTGCAGTGAAAAGCGGTTGAATGGGTGTCACCGCCGTCGCTACAGGCAGAGAAAGACTTATGATTCATGAAGCACATGAACTTGACGAACCCCGTTTGTCGTCCGCTGCACGCCGTACACACACATGTGTACTACATAGGTGGTGCGGGAGTCCGTTTCGTCCTGCGGCACTAGGAAGCTACTGGTTCAGCTAGAAGATGGGTTGGAGGTTGAGACGGTGGTCATCCCGGATCTCAGCGGTTCAAGGTGGGTATACAGTAGTACCGCCGGTCACCACCTGCACACAGGCATCAACAACGATACATGCGATCGACGCTCTGCTGAGTAGCTGTGGATTGTTTGCTCGAGAATCGAGTGGCGCCAGAAGAGCTGAAATGGAACGGGGTCGCACCGTGGATGCTACTTGGAGTCGCTGAGCACCGCCGTAGTTGAGACATCTCACAGTCACCGACAAGCAGTCTTCTTGGCACCATTTCGGTTGTTGCTGACACCCTTGCAGTACCCTGTGCATGGCAACGCCTTCACAATACCGCTTCAAACCCATGCAGGAGAGTACGGTCGTTCTTGTGCTGCAAATGCTACCAACACATATTACACTTAAGTCATCCTAAAACACTTCAGACATCCTAATGTGACCAACAGCAGCAGTGGCCGAATGCATGAGTCCATGGGGTTGCTAAAGTCGCCGCTGGCGAAATCGGACGCGACCTACCGGCGCGTTAGGCCAGCCTGACATTTTCTGTGTATCGCCGTTCTATGTCGGAACACTGCTGCTGTAAATCATGTGATTGTGCACCACTACTCGCTTGTTTTCATCGCCGCACACGCGTGCGTCCCAGCAGGGTAATCCGTACCCAATTGTTTCCGTGTTCCGTGTGCTGTGTTGTTGTCCCGAAACCAGGTCAACGGTGTGCGTTTCGAGCCAAATAGGTTGTGCGAAGAACTGTCAGTTCTGCATGACCGGCAAGATGGGCTTGGTGAGGAATCTCACCGCAGGAGAAATCCTGGGCCAAGTGTTCTTCGCCCGGGAGACAGTGAGGGAGCATGGGATGGTGAGCGTTTTGTAGCGCATGGAGTATCGGTCTTGAGTTGTCTCACTTTCGAAAGATCATCCACAACCGGATGTACAGCAGTCCTGTTTTGGCGGCCGAACGTTCAGCAGTTCTGTTTGGTCTCGAAGAAGGACTTCAGATCATGTGGCACGGCAAACGCAAAGCAGCCCACCTTCGGGATTATGTTAATTTTGTTGCGCCGTCTCTACTTTTATGTGGTGTGCAACAGTACCACATTCGTCACCTAACGGTGCAGACTCGAACGATTCCTGCTGTGGCGCGTTTCCCAACCTTTTTCCAGCCGCCCCTAACCAACGCGGTGTACATGGGCATGGGAGAGCCGCTGGACAACCCGGGGGCGGTCACGCAATCGCTGCAAGTGCTTACGCACCCATTCGCGTTTGCGATGGCCAAGAGCAAGATCTCTGTGTCTACGGTGGGCCCTTCGCCTGCCGCCATCCGCAGGATGAAGGGCATGCCGAGTCGCTTGGCTTGGTCTGTCCATGCCGCTACTGACGATGTCCGGCGACTACTCGTGCCCACGACCGTGCATTCCATGGCTGAATTGAGGTGAGACTTCACGTATGCAACAGGCGAAGAGGTTTCCGAGAGGGGGGGCCGTTCGCCACCACCTTTCCCTTTGCAGCAAGCTTCAGGGCAATCGTCTCTGGACGTTTGAGTCCATACCGCTAGTGCTATGCTAACTCGCACAAAGCTTTGTTATGGCTTGCGGTGAAAATCCTATCAGTCATTGAAGTATCGTTCTGTCCGACGACGATCGGTAGCACTTGCACGTGTTCAGTTCTTGGCTCGCACGAAGCTGTTTTTCGGCGGGTTGCGGTGAAAATCCTATCAGTCATCGTCGGTGACGTTTCGGTTCATTTTTTTCTCGCTTCACCCTTCCCTGCGGCGAGTTCTGTAGTGTCTACATCTCAACCAACCGCCTGACGGTCCCATTTCTTCCTCTTTTCCACGCTGTAACTCCGGCTGGCAGGGATGCTTTCGCTGAGGTGCTGCAGTCGAGAAGAAGAGAGCACCTATTCGTCGAGGTCGTGCTCATCGAAGGGATGAACGACAGCCCAGAGCTGGCCAGGGCTCTGGCCTCACTATTGAGACCGCTGCCCATTCGGGCGGGGATCAACTTGCTCCCTTACAACGATACGGGGCATCCCTTCTTTCGGGCGTCGCCAAAGGAATCTGTCGAGGAGTTCCAGAGGGTCTTGACACAAGAGGGCTTCGTGGCAACGATACGGACGGCGAGGTAAGGGTCTCTTGTGCCCACGACGTTCTGGCGGAATTTTGTAGCCTACCCGTAAACCCTCTGTCGTGTGTCGATCATTCCGAATCTGTCCACCTGTTTTTTGGGGGTATAGCAGTTCTTCTTGTGACACGTGTCTCAAAATCCGACACCTCCAGAGACTTCGCTGAGCACTGGTTCAACGAGCGTCAAGATTCGTTATCGTCAATTTTCTGATGACCAACCCTAGTCCGTTCTCATCTGCTGTGGTTCCATTTCATTTTCGTTTTCTTCCCACAGGGGGGACGAGGAGAGTTCGGCGTGTGGTCAGCTGGCAACGACCGCCAATAACGAGCGTGCGCTCAAGCAGCGACATCGTAGAAGTACCGATGACGACAAGGCGGCGGCGCGTCCACCATGACGAGGATACTCGGCGAAATGGCATAGAAAGCAATACCTGTAAAGTTTGGTACTTCATATTGGCGGCTCTTGACTCTGGGGCGGTTGCTTGGGAATGCTTTGGAATTCATGCCCAGGTTTTTTGTTTGTGCCGCCTGCTTTTCGGCTGAAAAGAACAAGGATCAATCAGGAGACAACGAGGTCCGTCTACCGACTTGCAGCAGTACTCCTCGGCTATCACCGCATCTATATGAATGTATTTCGAGATGGCCATCCTCACGCAAGCTCAGCTGTGTGTCTCTGGAGGGCAACACGGTGGCTGCCTCTGGGAGAACGCACTGCAGGAGCCCCTCGCTTGTTGATTTATTCATTGATTCCATCCATCACTCGGTAGTTCGGAATGAATGGCCGAGTTCGAGGCAGCCCGGAATGAGAACTTCTGATTAGGGAGCCTCTCTCTGTGGTAAGGGGTACGGACTACTACACCTCGTCTGACTGGCTGGCTGGTGTAATTTGCAAGCGACCAAAAAAGTGTGACTGTTTAGCTTGTTCGTGGTTAAACATTATCCATAGCAAAAGAGGCCGTGGAAGATCCCACCCATTAAATGATTCCCCAAACTCTTCCAAGGGACCATGCTCACCCCGCTGCGTCACACGCACTCTGCACAACAAAGGGAGCTAAATAGGTCAAACACGAAACGCACTACAATAATATAAAAGCGGGAGGGGCTTGGTGATACTACTACACTGCTGCTGTATACTGATGCTCAAGTTGCACGAACGTTCTCTTGATCTTATTCTTCAAGAGAGACCGTTAAACGTGCATCAACTGGCCGCATATGCCAATGGACCTCGCACACACTATAAATAGAATGTGACACGCTCTTCCCTCAGAGTTTAGATTTCTTTTTCGATGCTCTCATCGTCATCATGTTTATTTAGGTTCTGCGACCATTCTTTGCATCAGAGCGGAAAATCGAACACGGTCTCATAGACCCTGTGCAAGAAGATCCACCCCACTGCCAAATAGCCCCTTCACCATCACATGCACCAATGCTCATCTTTGGGAAGAACGCGTGCCCAGTACGGCAAGAAGAAAAGATCTGAACTGATACCACGCGTGAGAGAGAGACAGACGAGTGTGGGGGAACTCGACAAAAGCAAAGCAGAGAGCTCTGTTCTGCTTGAAAACTACGATCCTTCACTGGGAGGAATATACTCCTTCCCTCAGCAATCACTGGTGTCGACAGGAGAGCTTCGATGCTTACCCTCTTGACGAGCCTAACCCCGGTCCGGTCTCTCTCTGCCGAAAGGGGCGGCGCGGTTGGAGGCCCCGCAGATATACCGGATGAACATGATATGCCCACCCTCCCTACCGGGGGCTTGAACATGTCGAGCGTACAGCTACAGCGGCGAGAGATGAGAGATGGGGCCCGGAATCACCAACTGTGACTTGCGCCTCTATGGAGCGCAAGGTCGCCCTTCACCGTTGGGCAACGCTTGCCTATGTAATCCTGCTGCTGTGTGAATCTCCCGCTCTGTCGATGGCCTTCTGCGTGCATCACTCTCGCTACCTTCGCTCCGCGAGCTACGCTCGAAGCTTCGAGTCTGCTCGACTAGCCGCCGCGACTTCCACCCCGCCACGACGGAAAGGCATGCGCCGTGGCAGAGCGACGAGCATGCTACACTCCGACGCATGCGGAGGGTCTACCTCTGCTTCTTCTTCTCAAGTTCAGCTTTCGCAGTTGCCTACCGCAATGGACAGAATTTTACCTTTCGGGCGCTGCGTCGGGGTAGCGTTGCCTCCAACCTTGACTGATGATGTCATGACTGCAGCAGGGGAAGAGCTCTTGCCCAAGGAGATGGCGTACTGCCTGGGGCTGCCAAGAGCACTGCAGGTGGGATTTCTTGGTTGTCAAGACCGTTGACATGGTTTGGCTTTGGAACTTCAAGTGTCTAACGCTACAACCTTCCGGTGCGGCCGACCCCTGCTGCCGGTTGGTAGAACATAAAGCAGTCCACGAGTAGTCTCAAGTCTACATGTACACCAGGCCCTTGTGTACGTATGCATACGACTCTCGGTCGTGCCCAAGGTGTTCGCTACTCGCTGGTCACTCGGGGTGTGGTACACTCGCTCGCGGCCAAATATCGCTTGTTCCGTAACGGCGGTCGCGAACATGACCAGATCGTTGGCGATTGAAAGGTTGCTTGTTTCGCACTACAAGTTACCCGGCGTGTCACTGGCGTGATGAGATCATGATCATTATCATTCCTCTTGCCACACCGGCTCTTATACACTACAGTAGTACATGAAGTGTTCCGCTGCAGAATGCAGCAGTACTTGCAGTTGGCCACGAATGTACGCTGCTTATCTACTGTATGTAGACATAGCAAGGCTTTGCACGTGGTAGACCCTCTGTTTCGAGTCCCGGAGTCACAGCAGATGTCGAGGAATCACATCCAGATGTGAGATGTGAGACCAACTTTTGAGAGTAACGTTCCCATGACGAGCCTTGCGTGTTGGTGTTGGCGTTAAGGGTGCCTCCGCTCGTTCAATAGCACGAGCCTTTCCGTGCGACGTTCCGTCCCAAAAGCAAGCCCGACGTCGAGACCGTGTCGCTTTCGCTACAATATGTGTCGACCTGACTGTACCTCTAGGCCACTCTCTGGACACCGTTGCGAGTGATGTCCTCGGTCACACGCCCCGGCAGTCCTCCTCTCACACGGTGTACCTCCATTTTCGTGTTTCGCGCCCTGCTCCTTGTGTGATGATCGTCTCCAGTTGGGTTTTCTCGGCGGGAGGCTTGCTATCCGTCGCGCGTTAAACGGCATGGAGGACGTTTCAGCAGCCGCTTCCTCACAAGCCATCCTTCACAACCAAGACGGTGCCCCGGTGCTGCCAGAAGGAGTCTCCGCGTCCATCAGCCACAAGCAGCATTTGGCTGTTGCTCTCGTGCAGTCCGGTTGTGAGGGGCACTTGGGTAAGCAACGTGCGCACCCCGAGTTGCCCTCTTGGGCGTACGATATCGATTGCGAGGGATTCGTAGGTCGGTTGGGTCTAGTCTGTGGCTCGATTACCGAGGTTTACTGGTGGGTCGTGCTGTCCCGCCACGCACATGTTGCTGTCTGCACAACCGAGTCTTGCATTTTGTCGCGGTACAGTACTGCTGCAAAAGTGGGGATGTCGCTTGGGGATGGTGCGAGGGAGGTACTTACCTGATTGTGGGTGCGTGCTTTGGACGGCGGAGTTTGAGGTGTTTGTTTTACCTTCAAGAGTGCGGTTGGGGAGAGACTTGAAAGCGCCCGGAGCGGTTTCTCCATGTCGAGACGACGAAAACAAAGGCAGCAACAGCAATTGCAACACCTGCTAACGACAAGGAACGGAAACATGGGAAAACGCTCTTCATTTATCCAGCCGCTCTCTTGTGGCAAGTGGAAAACGTACGTTTTCCCGGCGAGTCCATGATGATGGCTCGAGCCTACATGTACACAAGATCACCAGTCAGTCAGTCCTTCAAGACCGTGAGGGCCCGCCAACTTCCGACCTTTCTCAGTTTTGTCGTACTGGTACAATCCATGTTTTACGTCCAACAGATGGGGTCTTCCGTTTGGAGTCCCAAGGCTTCGGTTTCTCATGCGGTGCTGTCGATGTGCTTTGCAACAGGTATCGACATCGAGCTTCCAGCCGTGCAGAGGCGTTTGGACCTGCGCCGACGAGTGCTGACGCCGAGGGAGTGCGATAGCCTTGGTGGCGTTGATGGGATGAGTGACCAGGAGGAGGTGCTTCTAAGGTTTTCGATGAAGGAGGCGGTGTACAAGGCGGCGCATCCGTTTCTACATCGCCCGCTGGGATTCAAGGATGTGAGTACAGTCGTGCCTCGGTAAATGACACCATTTTTGAGGAAACTCCCTCCGTTAAGGACAACTTTTTTTTTGACAGGCATGGTGGCTCGCAGAATGTACAACATAAGGAGGCGTATCATCCTCAAGGTCACTTCCCCGGCTTAAAGACACTTTTTTTAGCAAAAAACCAGGTGTGTGTGTCCTTACCCGAGGTTCGACTTGTAGTTGTGGCTGGCAGTGTACGCTGTACTCAGAGTGCTTTGAAGAGGATTTTTCGTATTCGGAGCTCTGTCGGCTCTTAACCAATCGTCTCGCTTCGACCGTCGCCCCTGATAGGTGGAGGTGCAGCCTGTGCGAGGGGGAGGGTGCGAGGTGCGTACGACCACGAGAGGGGCATGGGGAGGCCTTCGACTGTCCGCGGGCTGGATGTTCTTTCCCGACGTGCTTGGTCAGCCCTTGTTTTTGTCGTATTGCAAGGCGGTTGACGGTGGTGTGTCCAGTAGCAGCAGCAGAAGAAGAAGCACAAGTGTAAGCAGTAGCGGTGGGCAAGGGAGATAGCAGCTCGCCCCATACATTTCCTGTCTGCATTGTGACAAGCAACTTCACCACTCGGGGTTTTCTCTTGTGGCTGGGCGTGTGCGATACATGTATATATGCATTCTTGTCCCAGTTTTTACGGAGTTTCAAACAAGGATCTAAACTAGTCAGGCGAGGGGGTCTACGTTGTCTGCGCATGTGCGCGCGTGGTGTTGGTCGACGTTCACCATGTCCCCCTGGATTGCTGCAGTGGCACGTGCAGACTATGGCCGTAGCACATGGGGGGAATGGGAGACACGAACATTTGTGCTAGGACATCGAGGACAACCTTCTAGGACCGTTTGTTTGATTTCGCACTTACTTGCGGGATATTCAGGAAGACAAGCGGCGCGGTAGGAGGAGTGTATCTTGAGCAAGCGCTGTCGGCGGACTTGATGTTATTCCTCTTTCCGAACATTTTCCGTCGCTCGCAGTGCTTGGCTACCCCAGTATATAGCCTAGCCTCTCTAATTGAAGAGCCTTGATCCGGTATCTGGTTCCTCTGGGGTGCATGCCGTGGCTGGTGTTTCGCGGTTGGGGCTCGCCGTCCTTCCCTCATCGAGGACCATTGAAACGTAGTGCCAGTGTCTCCAGCAGTGCTATCGTACAATGCTACAATAATAGTTGTTAGTGGCGCTGTTGTGCATCCATCACACTTGATAAAAGTCTTGCTTGCCTTCGTCGCTGCTCTTGAGGAAGCACAACAAGTATTTGCGTGGCCCTCAAGCAGTACCATGCGAAGAAAGGCGCGCACTGACTGCTGTCTGTTGGTGCCTGGTTATTCTGGGAATAAACGTGGACCTCTTCGGTACTCGTGGCCTTTCGCCTTCTTGCGAGACTACGAGCATCTTGCAAGACCACGGGCAAAAGTAGGCAGTAAGTGAATCCTGCAGTACATCCCAGCTGCCGAGGCGCTTGATCCAGGCAAAGACTCTGTGCTCTACATCAGATCATATGGAGTAATAGATTAAAAGTAAGAACATATTATGAATCACGGGGTGAAAGCATGTCGTGCCTTTGTCGGACAATGATGGCTTGACCCCTTTGGCCGCAAGCTAATCCCACGCTCCCGACACTCAAGCCCCCACGACTCACGTCAAGTTAAATGAATCCTAGACTACCTTGTGCCTACAAATCGACGGTAGGTACACTACATGCAGAGGAAACTGTCAATACCGGCTGGATGTTTACAACCGCTCACCAACCCATCCTATATAAATCCTTTAGACGGGCCAACGTAAGGTCGCGGCAGTTGCGTCCAACGGCGGGGGCAGCGGTCAGCGCTCGGCAGGGAGACCACGTGCGGGGGGGGAAAGGACAGATACACCCGCTGTCTTCGAAGATGCGACAGCCGCTTGAAAAAACGTGCTACCCTCTCTCGGACACAATACAGAGAGCTTTCTGTGCAGATGGCACAGCGAGAAAACTGTTCTTGTATACCCACATGTGACACCAGACCAGCTGTGCGCGCCGTCCATACTACAAGGGGATACCACAAGGGGAAACGGTTGCGATACTACCGCACCCTACAGTACGAGAATCCACTAGCAGCAAACGCCGGCATACTAAACAAGTACGCCAATGAATATACAAGAACTTAGAACGGATTTAGAAAGAACGACGAACAACGAGAGACGACAATTTAGTTATTGCTGTGGTGCAGTCAGTCATGCATCTGTGGCAGTGCTGGCAACAAATGACGCTCACAGAACACGGAAATAAAAGAGCAGCGATGCCATGACAAAATTCTATGTAGAACCCTTACACAACGGACGTAACAACGAGACGACGATCAAGACACCGTACTGCAGAGGTGCAGCCGGCCATGTGTATGTGGCAGTGCTGGCAAAAACAACGCTAAAACAAGGGACAACGGAATAAGAAGCACCGTCGACATCATAGAAGATCTAGATACTCTACCCTGAAGCTTACATACGAACTACTTAACAAGTCGTGTCCAAGAATGAAAGTAAGCCTGCGCGTTTCGCCAACAACCCTCTACGCGCCAGGCTGCACTTCGGGTATTATTGTACAACAGTGCACGGCACACTGATGAAATACACTGCCCCACTCAACAGAAACAGACGCCAGAGAAACCAAGGCTTTCGATACCCAATTCATGAATGGAGTGCGTGAGTGGTGAAACACAACAACACTGCTGTGACAACGGAAGCAGAGGGAAAACGTGCCGATACGGACATTGAACCCCTCTCTTCAATGGATAAAAGGTAAAACATCCAAACCTAACTGCCGCTTCCTCCTCCTCACTAAACGCGGGACGTAGCTGTTGTGTCGTCTGTTGAACAGTGAAAATCTCACCCTAGCACGTACAGCGAATATAGGCAAACAGGCGACTGACTTGCTGTTCGTGATTCTCGAACGGCTAGACTTTCTACGGCTGAGTGTCAACCTAGAACGTAAAAACTTACAACTGCAACTGCGGAGCCAGCGCATCCCAAACAAAACAAGGGAACTGCCCCCGCCACGCCCCACGCATGCATCAGACAACTCGCCTGGTTCTAACTGATCGGCACGCGGAAAATAATGTCTAAATTCAATAAACGCACGTCTTTCTACCTGCCGCTCTCGGCTTGGCCACACCGCAACACTGGACGAGGGCACATATTTCAAACAACAGGTACTTGAGTGTGTCTGCCGTGATGGCAGTCCCTCTCACCACTGGTCCTTCCTCTCCCTTTCCCTTATCAACACTTCTTCCTGTGCCTCCCTGCCTCTTGCAGTAGTATCGCTGGTGTAGAAAATAAATAGGCATCTGTACTGTACGCACGTCGCCTCTGACTACAACGACAATTTGAGTTGCGCAAAAAACGCCCTAACTTCGAGGTGATTCATGCCTGCTGCGCGAAAGCTTCGCAAGGGCAACACCGACGATACACGAGCTGGAGCCTGCTACTTGTACATGCATCAGGCTTGAGATATACAACCATCTTAACCCCAGCCAGCCTCGTCGTCCTTGTCGTCCACGAAAAACGTGGCGAACCAAGAGAATCAATCCAATAGAGAGAAACTACAAAGAACGTGCGGACAAAAACAGCGCGACCCTGAACGGCGGCACTGCAGGGCTCAAAATAAAGCCTCTATCGCCTCTCTCGAGACCCTTCGGCATAGAGAATATACATCGGCCCGGCCCATCCGTTTGAATCAAACAGAAGAAAATAAAACTGCAATCCGACGGTTGAAACCCGACGCATTTCACTTCGAGGCAGGTGTGTGTCGGACCCATCATGCCGCAGGCACCATGCACCCTTCCTTCTTCTTTCTAGACAGTTTCAGGGTGTACGGTTGCAGAGCAAAAACAAACTCCAAACTTGCACTAAAGAGTCCAAAATCACAGGTTCCACCAGCCCAAGGCTTCGCCATCATGAGCACGCACATCTATCACATTACGCGTGGTGCTAACAACGCTTTCGGCATTCTGAACCTTGTCACAAAAGCGCCCCCCACTACCCGTACATGTCAGCCTCATCAATACTGTTCAAGCTCCCGGTGGGCGACACGGACCCCTGCCCATCCTCTTCCCTCAGCACGCTGAGCGGTGCCCCACGCTCCGAGCCCGCTCGCCTCGAGAGAAGCTGCCCGTCTGAAATTGGCGTCAGCAGGGTCGAATCGTCCTGCGAGCCTCTGGCGCTCTCGTAGTCCTCATCGCCCTCATCGTCTTCCTCGTCGTCCCAGCCCATGACCCACTTCATTGCCGCTGCCTCCAAGCTCTTCACCGAGATGTTGGGGTTGGGGATATGCCTTTTGGTCCGGTAGGTGCTCTTCGCGGAAACCTGGTGTCCGAATCGCACCACCCATCTGCAGCAGTACAGCAAGTACAGCAGCGCGCGATCGGCGTGGGTAAGGGTAGGGTTCGAAGGTTGCCGAGGGAGGGAGGAGCGTCGACGTGAGACATGAGTACTGGCACAATCATCGAGGACGGTTTACCTACCACGGGCTCATGGGGTAGGTCATGGCAGTCATGACGCATACATACACAGGTAGGCATGCAGCAATACACGCCTCAAACGTGCGCTGCCCCCTACAATAGCCAAAACATTCCCGGAACAAAACGAGTATTGAAGAAGGCATTCGGCGGCAGCAAACTAACAACAACAATCTTGTCGCATCGATACAAAGCCGCCATCAAATAAATCCAGTCAGTGGCCCGGACGTACCCTCAAAACATCCACGAAGCCCCCGCAACATAAGCAGAGCAGAGCGAGAGTGTAAGCGTACAAAATAACCTGAAGGATGAAGCACACCGGGAATCGAGGGTAAATATCACATACGAACCTCGAGAGATCTTCGACGGGCGGGCCGTCGACATAGATCGCCGGACCCCCGCCATACAGGCGCATGAGCTGGTCCCAGCACTCCATCCCCACCCGTCGGTAGTCGCCCGCCTGCTTGCCCATCGCCAGAGTCAGACCCTCGTACGGGATGTGCCTTTCCGCCAAGAGAACGACAACCGCAACAAAAACGCGACAGACTAATTAAACGCATTGTCCCGCGAGGGAATATCTCGTCAGACAGCAAGGATCATGACACAGCATAATTGTTGAATGGTATCGACAGACACCGATACACGACGGGAACGTTGACATCGAAATTCCTGGGCATGTCTCCCACAGCAACACCTGTCGCTAATATACGTGTACCGAAGCCGTCTAAGCAAGCAGCACTACAAAAAGGCAACAACAACCACCAACACTTTCATGGCAGTGCCCCAGGACGTTACGAACGTCCGCCCTACAGTACAACTCTCATTTAACGACAGCAGCAGTCATGCGCCGAGGGCACCAATCGCTTCACACTGTCACTGTCGGCCTCCAGGACAAGCCGCGGGAACAACATGTCAGCAGCCACCTGGCTACGGCAAGCTTCCGCCGTTCAGCAGTCCTTCCAAATAGGACCCAACTCCCAGTGACTGGGACTGACTAATTGCGGCCTCTCGAATTGCACCAACGGTCCCGTCTGATATTGTTCGACTTTAGACTCTATGGGGGGTGAAGCCGCGGCGAAACAGCTGCATCCACAACATCTCTGCACATCCTCAAACACGGGCGGTGCAATCGGTCGAGCCAGAGACACGTGCACTACAATAAATATAAATATCACACACACACACTTGGTTTTACGGTTTTACACGCTGACAATGACGTCGTTTCATTGGTCAGCCGCTTATCGCGGTCGTTGCTAACGACATTACACACACACACACACCGTTTCTCGGAGTGCAGCATCCAGGAGTTGTCGATTGGCCCGGGTGGAGACATCCTCCTCTTCGAAGTGCAAAATTCAAGCCAGTGGTCCATCCAGCGAGCGTCGACGATGAACCATCGCTCTCCCGGCTGCATGGGGGAGGTGATGGGCTTGCCCGCTGTCACGGCCGCTAGCTCCTGCACGCGGTGTTCCCACTGGAGAGCTGAGTTCTGCAAAAATAAAAAGCAGCACAAATAAACAAGAATGTGTTGGCCTCGACCTCGCCAATCGATATGCTGTAGACTTGACTAGACAACATCAGCGTGAGGGGAATGCCAACATCTCGAAACTATCTACAAGTATACATGCCTCAAAATTAGCATGCATGAATCAAACAGCTATATAGCACGAGATCGAACTTTGCAACACCAAAAAGGAAGGTGGCACAACAAAGACGCACAGCAACAGGAAAAGACAAAAAATACTCCTGGAGTATGTCTTAACCCTCACTTGTGTACGTTGTGTTTCCGCCCTAATGGGCACTTTTACTTCTACTTCTGCTTGTATATCGCTTCTCACAAACCAAAACAATAATTATCGCTTCCCACAAACCAAAAACAATAATTAATTAACACACCCGTATTTGTAATAGATACTTAGTCTTAGGTTTAGTACGAAGTGCGGGGTACATTACATTTATAAGGTGGGTGTTTAATTAATTTTCTTGTACTTCCTTGTGGGGGGTTCGCTGATAAACAAATAGGAATAAAGAAACAAACATGTACCTTGAAGATGGTGCCAGCGTTATTGGCAGTAGGCAACACCATAGAACCTCCACCTCCGAATAAGCTCGTTCCGCCGCTCTTCATCGACCCGTTCAAGTAGAGGCTTCGAGCCGATCGCTTGTGCATCACCAGCTTCTCCTCCACGAATCGGGACAGCTCCGCCTGGCACAGCGGCCGTCGGCATATCGCAACGTCAAGGCAGCAGCAGCAGGTGAGCGTTAGCATGAGGCAAAGGCAAAGAGCGCTAGGGTGTGGCAAAGGCAACGGCAACGGCACCAACGTACTAGAGTGCGCCGAGAGAACACAGAGGACACCGACGGGCAGCAATCGCCATTTGTCAACACTCTAGATGAGTAGGCCAACAGCTCCTACTGTAACATTTTCATCCCTTTCCCTTGCTTTACCCGAAAACGTTCCTCGGCCACACGCCTGATCGCCATATCGCAAGTCGAGAGCAATCTTGCAATCTTTGAAGCTTTGAAGGCCACAGCCACGAAGCGCGGGGTTTGAGTTGTTTCGCCCTGAGATCAAGCAAGAAGAACGCCCCGCGCACAGCCCAGCCCCCAAACCTTGCAGCGGTACCCGTAGAACTACTCGATCGCCTTGGTCTACCGTACCGACAAGACTCTACCGAGGTCTCCAACGCAGCAGCGGGAAAATAAATATCTCTCCTGCCCCTGCAAGGATTCGTCTCGAGATGGGATGGGCTACGTCTTGAGTGCTCGGTATGGCCGACAAAGACCATGCACCAGCCCCCCCCCCCAATTGCCCCTTTGAGCCTGGGCTGGCGAATATCCGGCCATATCGCTCCGTCCCGGCTTTGTAGGGATGCGAGGTCACAAGTCTAACGACCACGGCATGCACGGCTGTGAGTACACGAGTACACCCCCCGCCCCCATGCCGTATCTCACCTCGCCCCCCCCACACGCGAATGCAGAAGCCGCCGTTACATGAGCCACCCTCTGCGCCTGGTGACTGACGTCATCCCACCAGCCCAACCCTTCTCCGACCGCGTCCGCACTCCCCTTCCCCATACCGTCAGCATGGCTTGAATGGTTCCCGGTGCCGCGCGTCCCTGCAGCTCTAACCTCCGCTACCGACTGGAAGGCGATGAGCCACACGTGCATGAGCTATTTTTGCATGGATATTGCGGGAGGCATCCATCCGCACATCCAGTCGATGTTCGCCAGACGAGAAAGGGTGGCGTGGCGGGGGTAGCGAAGGAGGGAGGGGAGAAGCAGGCGGCACACGAGAGACATGCCATGTTGGTCGAGGCGGGGTATTCGCCGTCGGTCAGCAGACGGTTGAAAGGAGTGACGCCGTGGGTTCGCAGCAAGACCACCTTTGATATTGATGCCCTCAACAACAGCAACCACAAGGCCAGACAGATCCCCCAGGCAAGTAACTGCCCCTCGTAAACGATAGTACCGTTTCCCTATTACAAACACTAGCAGAACGGTTTACAACTATTGTACGCACATCCATTCTGGCATCAATCATCAGCCGGGGAGTGCGAGAACACGACTTCATGTAGCGCATGCCCCACACCTTTTCGGACTTGAAGGACAGGAACATGGAAGGAAAGCGCTCCGCCTCATCCTCCAGCACCAAGCAAAAGGCGTGAGACGACGAGTTATCCCGAACTCCCGGCCGTATCAAGGGCGAGACCTGCCGTGTTGTGTTGTGTTGTGTTGTGTTGGGGGGAACACAGATGAGCGTACAAAATGACCCAACGAAAATACTGCTGTACAACACGCTCTTGCGGAAAGGTGCGGCCGCCATCCCACCATGACGTCACTTCACCGACATCGGGCCCGCGACCGTCGCCTCTTTTCACACCAAGACACGTGCAGTACGTCCAGCAGCCCCCAAGCACCAAACATCCCCTCGTGCCTGAGGTACTATGCACCCGCGGGTTAAGACACTTGCCGGTGAATGGCGGTACAGCTCACACTGTAATTCAAGTACGCCAGACTGGTCAATGCATGACATGACACTTGAAATGACCCGCCGGAACATCGGGGACAACAAGGCAGGACTCACATGTGCACTGTCGAGGGGGAAGGCCTTCGGGATGCCGCCGGAGGAGCGCCTGCTCGCCTCAGGCTCGGATGCCGTCAGGTCTACTTCGCGCGTGTAGATGAGCAGCATCGAAGTCGACGGGTTGAGAACGAACCATCGCCGTTGCCTGTTCCGAGAAAAGGGTGGTTCGTGCGACAGCAGAAATTTAGGATGTATAATATGCATAGCACGTTGAGCAGCTACTTGTACTGTACATGAGAGAGTACAGGGAACGGTTACCGTTTGAAGCAAGCGTGTGGTGCGCCACGTCAAGCCTATTAATAGCGGTAGCGGCCGTGGTACCGCTCGATACAGAGAGACAGCCCCCCTCGCACCGATACCAGATTGCGGCCCGCAGCGCCACCACAAAAATTGGCTCGATAAAATTGTTCGAGGGACACCACCAAGGCAATCACGAATACGGTCCACTACCCACTACCCACGGCTGGTCGATTGAAGGATCGATACATCACGACGCAACCAAATCAGCGTCTTCCGCCGGAGTGCTGTCGCCGTTCCTAGGCAAGATCGGGACAACTAGAAGAAGCAACGGCGAATCCATAGCAACAACATCCGGCACCCATTCTCATGGCACCCATTCTCATGGCACCCATTCTCATGGCACCCATTCTCATGGCACCCATTCTCATGGCACCCATTCTCATAGCGTCCCGTCTTGCGGCGACATTCGCTTGCAGACGACTCCAGATGCCTCGCCTAGCGACTACGTTAGTCGCCCATCACCCACCAGGAGCTCTTCATGGCCAGCGTCTTCCTCCCGCTCGTCTTCTTGGCCAGCCAAGCCGCCAAGGCCTTGCTCCCGTCTGGCATGTCGATATACAGCGACGACTCGTCTGTCGAGCTGCTCGCGCGCGAAAGCGACCCTCCCAGCCCCACCTTCTTCAAGCTCCCGGAGGAATCACCCAGCCCATTGCCCGTGCCACCCAGCTTGGGCACCGTAGGCGGGAGGCCCGCGGGGATGTCCTCCGGCTTCGCGGGGGGGCCTACAGCCACCGTTTGCCCGGGCGCGAGAGGCAGGGGCATGGGTTCCTCCTCTTCCGCTCCGTCGGAGGGGAACCAGGGGTGCTGGAGGAGTTCCACGGCGGAAGGGATCGCCATCCCGGGGTCCGTGCCCAGCATCAGGTCGATAGCTTCCCTGGTGGGAAAAAAGCGTAATACGTGTGTGTAAGCTCTCCCTTCGACTTTCGACTTTCTCTGGCGCAGAGTCTAACCAAAACACCTTTCGTGCAGGAAGAAAACAGCCGCTTGTTTTTCTTACAGCCCAGCGCGTCCGCCAAGCGCACTGTCCGGAATGCACCCGCGGGCGGGGGGGGCGGGGCGGGCAACAAGTACAGCGTCTCGGTCGCCTCCACGAGATACGCATGGCTGTTTCAATAACCTGGCTACCCCGTTGCAGGCGACACGAACCGTTTCATCGCACGAGCTTGATCCTCACCTTGGTCCACCCCTCCTTACACTCGATATACAAATAGACTTGGGCTGCTGCTGAAGAAGGGGGCGACCCAAAACGATCAACCTTTATTCCCTGCCCCAATGTCGACCCGTACCGTACCGACGAGAGCAATGTGTCTGTTCGGCAACAAGAAACAACAGGCCGTATCTATATCTACTTGCCTGCCAAGGGGAGACAGCTCGGGCACCCCCGTGCTTTCCGTAGTCGCCCGATAGCTCTCCAAAGGCTCGCCCGCCGCCGCCCCGGAATCTCCCATGAGAGCTGCGAACACGGTCAGGCCCAAGGACACTATGTCCGCATCCCTTACAAAAACAGAAACAAAACATAGTATGATATGCATGCAAACGATCGCGCAAGACGACGAGATTGAGGTATTGAGGTACAGGAAGGTATGACATATGCATGAGTCCAGTCATCGGTATGCCCATCCCATCTATCAGCAAGTTTCTTCAGGCAAACTCGTTTTATGTTCAACTTTCTGTTGGTCGTCGCGGCGTTTACCCAGACTCTTACTACTCAAGTGTATTGGAGGCTTACCTACCATACACCTGTCAGACGCTCGCCACTACTGGAGGTGGCCAATAACAAATCTGAAATGGTGCTGGCCAAGTTACACCAAGAAAGATCATGTCAGCGTGTTCGCGTTCTCTATCCCGCGGTGTTAAGCTTCAAGACACTCGACGTCTTTTCATTAGTGAAGCCGGTTGTCGCTGTCCGCAACCCTAACCCTTAACAAGCAAAAAATAAACACACGCACATACCAATTGCTCCCGTGTACTTCACCTGAGATCCTTGTCCACCGTGCCCACAGGAGTCCCGCCCGCTTGCCACGCATCACCGGCCCCGTGCGCCTTCTCCAAGTAGCACAGCTTTGCCGTCGCAGCCCCTAGCTCGTTGTGGCTGGGGGACGAGAACAGTATCCTCCCCGGGGTAACGTGTCCGTGGAACAGCCCTTGAGCGTGAAGCGAGGCTAGCGCTGAGAGGATGCTGTTCCAGAGGTCACGCACATGCGGCGCCGCGGTGGTAGCGGGGGGGGGGGGGCGTCGGCACAGCTGCGGTTGGATGGTAGGTAACCCGATACGAGGTGCACTACCGCCAATATCAGCATGAACAAGTGAGTAGCCCGAAGTCAAGTATACCTATCGCCCGAGTCTCTCCGAGAGTCAACAAGAAAAGACATTCATACGTCCTAGAAAAGTCGACGCTTCGATTTGGCTCGTGAGTGCAGCAGTGGTCAGCGTTGCGGCAGCCGTTCAAGAAGGTTGGCAAGATACGCCACGTTTGCACAAGGGCTTCGTTATCCCGCATCCCGCGCCTCTGATGGGCAGCTAGGGTCTAGGGTAGCCTGTGACGACGGAAGGTGTCCGGGCCAGTTGGATTACATGTAGTCTCGTACGGATGAAAGAAGGCTGTGCGTGTCGTTCGGACTACACCCGGTAAAGGTAGTGGACTGGAACCAACTAGTCACTGTTTGACCCGGTACTTGATTGGAATAAATGAGCTGATCAAATTTCTGAGGCAGTAACTTGTTGGAATCAACTACAATAGTAGTAACCCAAGATTCTGACCCAAAAATTGGTCGGCTTCGCAAAGATGACTAAAAGTAGTTGCAGCATGTGAAAGTCTCTTTACAGGGTACGGTATAACACACAGCGTCGCTTGGTTGTGTATATAGTTTAAAACATAGTTCGGACATATATTACTCCACCCACCGTCGCAACGCTATCAGCGTGCGACATTTGATCCCATCTCATACGGCAGCAGTCCTACAGCCGAAGAGAGAGCGAGCCTGTGTCCCGACAACCACCCCAACATCATCATGTCCTCAAACCAAGAAACGATGATGGGTCATGCATGATGCACTCTACAGCAGCAACATGCCGCCATTCGACAACAAACACCAACATAGAGCAGCTGGCCCGGCCGGGCAAATTAATCCCCACAACCGATGTCCCTGGCGAAATTTTCAACCACGCGTCAACGCATACATTCTGTAGATATGCATAAGATAAGAGAGGTGGGCGTGCCATCGCTACGATAATTGCTCTGTGCATAAATCACGAATCGCTGAGCAACGGAGACAGGAGACAGACAGAAGACCAAGTGTCGCATCATCTCCCCGCGTGCCTGAGAACTAAGCAAGAGAGAATGTGACTGATTACGTCTTGAAGAACATATTGTCGGTGGTGGTTGGGTACTCCATCGTACAGCATGGATTGGATGTACGGTTAGGATTGGGACATTCAGCCAAGAACGCGGGGTAGCTTCGAATCATTAGTCCTAATCAAATAAGTGGTACATTTAGCTTGTTGATAGAATGATGCGTGATCATTTCCTTCAGACGAGCACCCGCAGCAGACGGATAACGGGTAGTCTAGTATTTTCCTTGTTGTACAACCTACTCCTATACATTTTGTGCTTCAGCCAGGAGCTGTCCATTCTTCAAGTGCCACATTTCCAGCGGGCCACTCACAGGCCAGCATTCCGAATGTGCGGTCTCTCACAGGCCGTCATTTCTCCATCATGTTCACTTGGATCTAGAGTGAGTGGTTCTTTCCGTCTTTCCAGGATGTCGTCCGGTGGTTGTTTAGCAATTAATTCACAATAGGAGGACACATACAATATTCTGGTGGCTGCTTGCGGTCCATGGAAACTTTAATCCTTTGGTAGTGCAGTCGCGAGCCCCGCACACCGGCGGCAGCAAACACCAAACATCACTCCCGCCACGCACCCCTACCCACATCATGCACAACCAGCTCTCAAGATAGATACGTGTCGTCCAGCATGTGGGACGGGTTTCCGGGGGAGGTTGAGCAATAAATCCCCAACATCACCCGCGACGTAAAAAACCGAAACTCGTTCACGAAGGGGGAGACGGGGAGGAGGAAGAGCAGTAAATATAGCAGCACAACAAGATCAACAACCGCAAGACCATCGCCGACGAGCATGAGGACGAGGAGGCGGAATCGGCGCAAGCCGGGGCGTCATCTCTTATCTACGATAACAGGACTACACGGATGATTGCGATTTCCTGCATGCCAATGGGCCAGCCTCTCATTAGGAAGGCCCACACCAGCCTGCGGCGGTCGCAATCTTAGCGATCGTCCCCTGCTAACACCTCAAGGGATGCCGTCGATGAAACCTACTTATAGTTTATGATTACTAGCCTAAGTGATGCCGTCTTTGATTCACTTCGACATGCGTATCTTATGTACAGATATACATTTGTATTGGGTAGTCGTTAGCAGTGGAGGTTGTTCGGGTGTTCCTTTCCCTTCTGTGTCCAGGCGGCTGTTCGACTTGGAGAGTCTTTCATGTTCTTTGAAGCAGCTGTAACAATCTTTGCTTTCTTTCTAGTACAGCAGTAGCGGGTAGAACAGAGAAGAACACCTTGCTTGGTCACAGGTATCCATCCGTGTTACAGCAGTTTCGAAAACGCACACGTCTGTCTCTACTCGTGGTTGCGGACGCTGGATGAACACCACAAACACGCCCGCCAGCGAGAAAGGTCTCAACCGCTTAGTAACGTGGGTAGGCCATTCAAGTACTGTAGCAATCTAAGAGGTGGGACGCCGTTTGGCTCGAAGCGCGGCTGATTGATGGTGCGAGATTAACTGTCTGTCGGTCGGTCCCATTTGCCCTCTCTTCAACTCAGAACAACACCCGCCGCCTGTTTGTTGGTTTTCTCTTTTCTACTGCTGTCATCGACTCCCACGTTTGTGCCGCTGTGCTGCTGCTGCTGTTTTATTCTGCTGCTCGGGTCTTGGCTGCTCATATTGCATTATTACACCTCCTCCCTGGCTCTCACCCTTCGTGAGGCACAGGCAAACAAACGCTGTGGTACATACTGTAGCAAACAAGCACCCACGACCCGCAGCAGCACAGCTTGCACAAAGTCGGAACGTTGGACCGAACACAGAGCGACGTTGTATGAACTGTATGAACGTAGAACAAATAGTTACGACAAAATATTGCTGCACTCAGGTCGTTGCGGACGTGAGTTGATTTCGAAATATTTTTTTCCGTTCACCACCCGTCCGTCTATTTGAATTCCCCCCCCCCCCGTCGTGGTGGCCCCGCCCCCCCCGGTGTTTGCCATCGGGGTTTGGGTTTTCGTCGCGTGGCAACGACGTTGTAAAACAAGCCCCCCACTCGGTGTTTGCCATCGGGATTGGGTTTTCGTCGCTTGGCAACGACGTTGTAAAACAAGCCAATTCACTTCGTGAACTCGGCAACCAGGTTACCGTTTTTTTTTTTTACCTCTGGTTTTTTTTTGGCGGTAACCATAATGGTGGTCGAGTAGATCATGTTGTGCGGGGTCGAGAAACCTCACTCCGCGCAACGGGGGATGATCGCACCACGTTGTGTTAAAATGGTCAAGCTTCCTCGAGGCAGTTACACAGTGCTTACAACTGTCTCTGGAAGTGAAAGCACCAGAAAATAAATTAAGTCATACGTAGCTGTCATCCGTACGCAAGGAAGTAAGCACAAGATGCCGAACACCCTTAGCAGGATGCAGCTCACCCTTCATGCGACTCGCCAAATACCTCACGGCGCTTCGCGCTTGGTGATGTGAGAGCCTGGTCCGGTGAGAACCCGGCGTGCTCCGTCCCGGCTTTGTAGGGATGCGAGGTCAATGGTCAAACGACTACGGCAT